TTCTCAATTTATTGATATTCATATGTTCCCTGATTTTCATTGTTATAGCCTTGTGTATGATTCACTAGTGCGCAATATTTAATTATTCACATAGGCTATTTTGCTATATAGGGGTAATTGAATCCGTAATTGTTCGTTATCTCTATCCCAGTAGCAACTGGCATAATTGGATTTGTATCAGAGGAATATTTGACCTAACTTAAATAAACCCTCGTAGCGTGTTTGTTAGCTAGGATTGGGCTTTTCTAATTAATAATGCAATCTAAGAATTAAATCCTACGGTCGTACCTAGGGTTGTTTTTGGGTTAGAGAAATAGCTAACGGTCGTACCTTAGCTATCGATAAATTAAGGAAGGGTTGGTTGTTTAGCGCGTGCGAGACAACTATAACCAATCTATTAATAAATGTTGGAATTATCTGTGATTCGATGATCAGTGCATGAACCATTTTTGAGGTGTACCCTTGGCTAGAGTTTTCCCTTAATTATTCCTCTTAATCGGTTAATTTCTGCATTTAATTTGTTTAGTTGGCATTTGATACCAAAACCCCCCCATTAATCTTGATTTGAAAAGAAACAAAATATCTTGCTAGTCCCTGAGGAGACGACCCTACTTACCACTGTCTACTAGTTAGGGAATTCAGTTAAATAATTAATTCAGATATATCGGATTAAGCAAACTCTTCGGGAACAGGGTGAATCAAGTAACCCATTGCACACCTAGAGTCCCTGCTCCAGTACTCGAATTGCAAACTCTTTTTTTTTCTTTCTTTTTATTTTTCTCCTTCTTTTTATTTTTCTTTCTTTTCTTTTTCTTTTGTTTCCTCTCTTATTCTTCTTCTTCTTCCTTCCCCCTCTCTCTTCCCCGTTATCTCTACCTCCCAATAGTAACTCTACCAATGCCACCTCCTGCCACCCCTCTCCTCCCTTTCCCTTTCTCCTCCTCTTTGCCCTTCCCCTGCCACTACCCTCTGCCCACAATCCCTTTCCTCCCCCTCTCTGCCCGCCACCCTCCTCTGCCCGCCACCCCCTCCCCCTTCCCCCCGCCACCATCCCTTTCCTCCCTTCTTGTGAGAACCCAGAAAAAAAAAAAATTTATTATTTATTTATTTATTATTTTATTCCTGTGCACCGTTTTCTTGTATTTTCTTTATTATATTACTTTTATTAACATTTTATCAGTAAATATAGTTTTTAAATCATTTTTCTAGTATAAGGTAGTTCGTGAGAAATTTGGAACGTATTTTGGACGTGCGACCCGCTAGTGCATTTAGTGAGAGAAATTCGACCAATTCGGTTAAATTGTTCATAAAGGGATTTCATTACTAGGTGTTAGGAGATGATTAGAGGTTACCTAGATGGATTAACTCTGGAGGGACAAGAGGATAACACTAAACAAAACAAGGTGCCACGTGTCCAAATGTGGTTGGACCAAGCTTACCTAACTTTGCCTAACTTTCTTTGTCATTACATAAAAGTCCAAATTTGACCAAAACCTCTTCATTCTTCACCTCCTCATAGCCGAACCTCTCCAGCCAAGAAGGAAAAACATTCTTCAACCTTTCATCTCCAAATCCTTGCTCAATCTTGAAAATCAACCGATTGTTTCTTGAATTAGTCCGTAGAATCATCTTGCTAGGAGGGTTTGAAGACCTTGGTGGTGTTGTTTTGGAAGAAAACTCTCTAAGCTTCAACCTTTCTTGAAGAACTAAGGTATATTGCTTGGAACTCATCTTTTGTTTCTAATTTTGGCCAAGTGGTGCCTTATAGTAGCTATATACGTGATTGTACGGAAGATTTGGTGGATTGGAGTGAAGTTTCCTAATTTTCTGATTTTTCTTGGAATTTTTCTGGTTTCATATGATGGATATGATTGGGTTTGATTTGGTGGTTCCAAATGGTGTTTTATAGCTCACTTGTGCGTTAATTGTAGTTAATTGCGGAAAATTGCCGCTTATGCGGAAAATTTCAGATTTAGGGTTTCAATTGGGGCTTTGCTATGGTTGATTGTTGAGCTTCTAATTGGCTAGTATTGAGGGGTATTGTGACCCTAATGAAGTATATTGAATGCCTTATGAAGTGTTTGGGTGCTTGTGGTTGTGTTGGATGGTTTTTATTGGTGTCTTGTAGGTTGGAAAAGCTGAAATTTTAGGGGAAATGCTGTCCGAGTGTCTAGGGCATTGGATCCTTGTGAGTTGGGTTGAGATTGACTAGAAATGAATAATTTTAGGGTTGTTTCTACTTTTAACCCTAAATATTATGTATTTTTCATTTCCAAGCTATATTTGGGTTTTACCTTAATAGTTCCTATTAAAAGGTATTCGACTCGTGTTTGAGTCTTAATTGTACTTTCTTGATTATTATAGGGCGTGCCGGTGATCCGAGGCTCACGTCGGGCGAAAACTTGTGAAATTACTTTGTTTGACTTGGTGAGTGTACTACTCACATATTTGTTATTCCGTGGCTTTCTTGTACTTGAATTCTGTGTTTTGGACTAGTTGTGATGATTGTTTGGACTAGGTGAGGCGAGTGTGTACTTTACCACTCTCGTACTCTCTGGCCTACTTGTTTGGTTATGATATAACTTGAATACTCTTGACTGTGTTTGATTTGGTGTCGCTTGGATGCCGATCCTTAATGTAACTCTGGATCTGTACTGTTTACTTTGAGCTCTACCTCATTGGAAGTCAATGGACTCGAGCCAGTAAGGACTTGGTCGGGGACATTTGACAAGCCATGGGAACTGTATTTGAGAATCTTTGGGTATGAGACCCTAGATTCCGGTTTACTCGAGTAATACCAATTCTGTACTGTGTGGTGTTCGGGCCCGGTAAGGGGAAAGTGAGGTGGACGGATAATTGGAGTAAAGAGGGGTCTACGGTCATGATTACCTGGTATACATTGACGGAGAGTCAATGAGATGAGATCAAGTATGGCAAAAGAGGAAAAGGGCTCCTGAGAGCCATCCGTATCCTTTTATTCCTTACACTTGGGTGTTATTGCTTTTACTTACTTGACGAACGTATTTGGACTGAATGCTCTTGAGTTTATGTGATCTTGGTATATGTACGTGATAGTACCTCATTGGGCGAAAGCTCACTCCGTTAAATTTTGTTTTCCTTACAGGGAATTATCTTTTGGACTTTTGACTGTGATGAGTAAGTTGAGTGGAGCTAGTCGAGAGATTTTGTATAGCTCCTCAATAGTTGGAACCTTTGTTGTACTTGGATTTAAATGCTTTCTTTTGGCTTGTAACCATACAAAAGTGGTTTGTAATAGGGTGTATTCCTATCCAATGGATTGTACTTGACTTGTATATACTCTTTTCAGTGATTGTTGGAAATTTCTTGTAATCAATGGGATCTTGGCGGATTGTGACGTGGCAGCCACTATTCGCTTTACGTTTTGCCTTTTGTTTTCCCGTTTCTCATTTATTGGGTTGATTAAGCGCGCCAATATTTTCCCGAACGACTTGAGTTAGTGTTTGACCGTTTTAGTAGTCCTGGCGAGAGCTGGGCAGGCAGTCCGCTAACTCCTTTGGTACGGCTTAGGGGAAGGTGGGGCTGTCACAAGTGGTATCAGAGCCTAGGCTAGAAATAACCTGGGCGAACTTGAAACCTGTTTCTTAGAACTTTTGGGATTGTGATTAGATGCTATTAAGTGTGAATATATTGTCTAAGCTATAAACCTTTGCTATCTTTGTAGGGTATGGCCGGTACTAGTGGAGCAGGTGGAGGCGAGCCACCTCAGAGGCGCCCACGGGTTGTCGACTACCAGGAGAGACCGGGAGGTCCGATCCGGCTATGGCATACCGCTAGCCGGACCCGCCGCTGTAGGCGTTGCCAGTTTTACTCCTACGCGGACCACGTGGTGGTGGCGGTACTTGCCGAGCGACAGAGGCTTAGATGTGACGCCGCCAGGGAGCGTACTGAGACCCTTAGGCTTAGGGGCATCATGCGGATGCAGGCCGATAGGATCGGAGAGCTCCGGGGGGGACGTGGCCATGGAGCAGGAGAGGACGGACGCTCTGAGAGAGCAGTTGCAGGCGGTTAACGACCGCCTTATTCGAGTAGTCCGGGAGGTGAGAGACCGATCCGGCGCGATTATCGATGAGTGTGGGGCGCTGATCCAGGAGGTGATTGGCGCCAATGCGCCAGGGGGAGCTCCAGGTGGCGGAGCTCCAGGTCAGGGAGGCACCCCTAGCCCTAGCTCTAGCTCTGGGGGGGAGTCGGTTGGCTCCGTCGAGGACTAGATTAGGGTTTTGGGCCTAGTTTTGATCCCGTGTGAGGGATACCTAGGAAAAGCTTTTGGTTAGTTGTTTTGTACTTCTGAGACCTAGGTTGTACAGTGTATTTTGGCAGACCCTCTTTTGGCTTCACGGGAGTACTTTGTATATATTTGCTTGACTGCTTATGTATGACTGTTTGACACAGTTATGTGTTCCATGTATAAATGTGCTATGTGTATACGTGCCTTATGTGGTGTTTACTTTTAATTTTGTTCATGCTTATATGACTATATTGATATGCCTTTTGATATTAGTTTGTGCCTCGATTTTAGAGTGACCTAGAGAATGGAAGGCACTCGTAGTGGACGAGGCCGTGGCCGCGGGGTTAGGCAACCCACAACTGACGAGGGTATTAGGGATACCTCAACTGAACCAAACCCTGAACCTAGGGTTGACCCTAATGCCCAGATAGCCGCTGCTATGCAGCAAATGACTGACCTGTTAGCCCACGTAGTGCAACAGCAGGGCCAACCTCCTATCCAGCAACCTGGGAACCCTGACCATGTAGTGGAAAGTGAAGATCGGGCCCTGGAGAGATTTCAGAAGTTCTCTCCGCCAAAATTTCTAGGCGGGCCAGATCCGGACGTGGCCGAAAAGTGGTTAGAGAAAATGATAGATATTTTTGCCGCCCTACACTACTCAGAGGAGAGACATGTTACTTTCGCTGTCTTTCAATTGGAAGGAGCCGCGCGTTCTTGGTGGAATGTGATACGCATGAAATGGGACCGGGAACAAACCCCAAGAACATGGGTAAATTTTGTGAGGGACTTCAACGCAAAATACTTTCCCCCTCTAGTCCAAGAAAAAAGGGAGGACGAGTTTATTAGGCTCCGCCAAGGGACTCAATCAGTGGCTGAGTACGAGAGCCAGTTTACTCGTTTATCCAAGTTTGCCCCTGAACTCATTCTGACGGAGCAAAGGAGAGTTCGGCGTTTTACTCAGGGGCTCAATGTGGAAATTCAAAAGGATCTGGCGGTAGCCCAGATCCACACTTTTAGTGACGCCGTGGAGAAAGCTTTGCGAGTTGAAAATGCAAGGCTTCAAGTAAGGAACTTTCAGGTGAAAAAACGGGGGTTCTCTGCGAGTAGCTCGACCCAAGGGGATAAAGGGACCCCTCCCAAGTTTGGAAGAGGAGCCGGTGGAGGAAGGCAACCGGGAATGACGCGAGGGACTCCGCCAAGGGGTGGTCACAATGGACGGGGCCCGCAGAAGAGCACCTCACAAGGAAGTTCGGCCTCAGTGGCACGTGGACCTTGTGAATTTTGTGGAAAACCAAACCACACTGAGGACAACTGTTGGAGGAAGGAGAGAAGATGCTTGCGCTGCGGGAGTGCAGAGCATCAAATAGCTAACTGCCCAGTGTTACCTCGGGAGACGAGAGCAACCACTCAGTCGTCGAAGGCCAACTCGGGACAGTCCAAGGTAGAAGGGACAAAGCCAAAGGTGCCAGCTCGGGTTTACTCCCTTGAGCAACAACAAGTCCCTGATTCCTCTGGGGTTGTAGAAGGTACGATCCCTGTTTTCCATCGTCTAGCTAGGATTTTGATAGACCCTGGTGCTACCCATTCCTTTGTTAACCCCGATTTTATGTGCGGTATTGATATAAAACCCGTTAGCTTGCCTTATGACTTAGAGGTTAGTACTCCTACGGGGAACCAACATTTGATTACTGGTTTGATGTATGCGAATTGTGAAATATGGGTAGGAGAGAGAAAGCTTTTAGGGAATCTTATAAGTTTGGCCATTAAGGGGTACGACGTTATATTGGGTATGGACTGGCTAGCTAAGTACGATGCACAGCTCGATTGTAAGAGAAAGGTAGTGGAATTTCGTATACCGGGGGAGGCGACCTTAAGGCTAGATGTAAGAGGTAGTTTAGCCTCATCTGCATTGATTTCGGGTATTCGGGCCAGAAAATTTTTGTATAGAGGGGCCCAAGGGTTTCTAGCTTTTCTTATAAATACTCCCACTGATAAGCTGAGGGTTGAAGATGTGCCTATTGTAAGTGAATATCCGGATGTGTTTCCTGATGAATTAGTAACTTTACCTCCGGAGAGAGAGATAGAGTTTAAGATTGACCTATTGCCAGGAGCGTCACCTATCTCTAAGACCCCCTATCGAATGGCACCTGCTGAACTCAAGGAGCTGAAGTTGCAGTTGCAAGACCTGTTGGAGCGTGGGTTTATTCGTGAGAGTGGATCTCCTTGGGGGGCTCCGGTACTATTTGTTAAGAAGAAGGATGGAACGTTAAGACTGTGTATCGACTATCGGGGACTAAACAACATGACCATTAAGAACAAATACCCACTTCCCCACATCGATGAACTGTTCGACCAGCTACAAGGCGCAGTGGTCTTTTCAAAGTTAGATCTCCGACAGGGTTACTACCAGTTGCTAATTAAGCAAGAAGATGTACCCAAAACTGCTTTCAATTCTAGATATGGGCATTTTGAGTTTGCGGTCATGCCTTTCGGGTTGACCAATGCCCCTGCCGCCTTTATGGATTTGATGCATCGAGTTTTCAAACCCTACCTGGACCGATTCGTTGTCGTGTTCATTGACGACATTTTGGTCTATTCTAAAACCCGTGAGGAACATGAGCAACATTTGAAGTTAGTGTTACAAACCCTGAGAGATCATCAGCTATACGCCAAATTTAGTAAGTGTGAATTTTGGCTGGAGAAAATCTCTTTCTTAGGACATGTGATTTCAAAAGAAGGTATTACAGTAGACCCCGCGAAAGTAGAGGCGGTGGCTGAATGGAAGAGGCCAGAAAATCCCACTGAAATTCGCAGTTTCTTAGGGTTGGCTGGATACTATAGACGCTTTATTAAAGACTTTTCCAAATTGGCCGGTCCTTTAACAGACCTGACGAAGAAAAACGGTCGTTTTGTGTGGGATACTAGGTGTGAAACCAGTTTTCAGGAGTTGAAGCGAAGGTTAACCAGAGCTCCTGTTTTGGCCTTGCCTAATGGAAAGGACAGTTTCACAGTATATACCGATGCTTCGAAGGAAGGTTTGGGATGCGTGTTAATGCAAAACCAGAACGTGATTGCCTTTGCCTCTAGGAAACTAAAAACCCATGAACAAAACTACCCTACCCATGACTTGGAGTTAGCTGCTGTGGTCTTTGCTTTGAAGAAGTGGAGACACTATCTTTACGGGATTACCTTTGAGGTTTATTCGGACCATAAGAGTCTTAAGTACCTGTTCTCCCAAAAAGAGTTGAATATGCGGCAACGTCGGTGGATGGAACTCTTAGAGGATTATGACTGCACGATCAACTACCATCCTGGTAAGGCTAACGTAGTAGCGGACGCCCTAAGTCGGAAGGCTCAAGTAGCCGGGTTGATGGTCAAGGAGTGGGAGATGTTAGGAGCAGCTAGTGAGTGGAACCCTAGATTGGGATGTAAGAAAATAACTTTTGGGAATATTCGGGTAACCTCTACTATTCTTGATCGAATTAAAGAAGCCCAAGAGAAGGATCCGATGGTACAAAAGTGGAAGGAAAAAGTAGAAAAGGAAGCATTACCTGATTTCAATTTGGGTCCCGAAGGGATTTTAAGATATAAGAATCGAGTAGTGGTGGCCAATGATGAAAACCTGAAAAGAGAAATTTTGGAGGAAGCCCATCGATCAAAATACACGATCCATCCTGGTAGTAATAAGATGTACCATGATTTGCGACGGTTGTACTGGTGGGATAAAATGAAGAGGGAGATTGCTCAATATATCCAAACCTGTCTGATTTGCCAGCAAGTTAAGGCTGAACACCAAAAACCCTCTGGACTGTTACAACCTCTTGAGATACCTGAATGGAAGTGGGAAAATATCACGATGGACTTTGTTTCTGGATTGCCAAGAACTCAAAAAGGACATGATGCCGTTTGGGTGATCGTTGATCGGTTGACCAAATCGGCCCATTTCTTACCTGTGAATGTGAAAGATTCCCTGGATAAACTGGCTCGGTTGTACCTGAATGAAATTGTGAGGTTACATGGGGTTCCAGTGAGTATAGTTTCAGACCGAGATCCTCGTTTTGTATCAAGGTTTTGGCAAAAATTTCAGGAGCACTTAGGGACCAAAATTAACCTTAGTACAACTTATCACCCCCAGACGGATGGACAGTCGGAGCGAACAATTCAAACCCTCGAGGATATGTTACGAACGTGTATTCTAGATTTTGGGGGTAATTGGGGCCAACATATGACTTTAGTAGAGTTTGCCTATAATAATAGTTTCCATTCGTCCATTCAAATGGCACCATACGAAGCTCTCTACGGACGAAGGTGTCGTTCGCCCATTTATTGGGATGAAGTGGGGGAAAAGAAAGTTCTAGATCCAACAACCATTCCCTGGATGGAGGATGCGCAAGAAAAGGTTAAATTGATCCGTCAAAGACTCCAAACAGCTCAAAGCCGACAAAAGAGCTACGCAGATAACCGAAGGAAAGATTTGGAGTTCGAAGTTGGAGACCGTGTCTTCCTTAAGATCACGCCACTACGAAGTGTCACTGCGGGTAGAGGAAAGAAACTTCAACCACGGTTCGTGGGGCCATACAAAATTCTCCAACGAATTGGGAAAGTAGCGTACCGACTCGAGTTGCCGCCAAGTTTATCTCGGATTCATGACGTTTTCCATGTTTCAATGCTGAAAAAGTACTATCCTGATCCAACCCACGTTGTGCGACCAGAAGAGATTGAGTTAGATGAGGCACTCACCTACGAAGAGAGACCTGTACAAGTACTCGATCGAAGGATTAAGGAACTGAGGAATAAGCAAATCCCATTAGTGAAGGTTATGTGGAGGAATCATGGTTTAGAGGAGGCAACTTGGGAATTGGAGGAAGAGATGCAAAAGAAATACCCTGAGCTGTTTAGTAACCCAGGTGAGCAATTTCGAGGGCGAAATTTTTTTAGGGGGAGAGGATGTGAGAACCCAGAAAAAAAAAATTTATTATTTATTTATTTATTATTTTATTCCTGTGCACCGTTTTCTTGTATTTTCTTTATTATATTACTTTTATTAACATTTTATCAGTAAAAATAGTTTTTAAATCATTTTTCTAGTATAAGGTAGTTCGTGAGAAATTTGGAACGTATTTTGGACGTGGGACCCGCTAGTGCATTTAGTGAGAGAAATTCGACCAATTCGGTTAAATTGTTCATAAAGGGATTTCATTACTAGGTGTTATGAGATGATTAGAGGTTACCTAGATGGATTAACTCTGGAGGGACAAGAGGATAACACTAAACAAAACAAGGTGCCACGTGTCCAAATGTGGTTGGACCAAGCTTACCTAACTTTGCCTAACTTTCTTTGTCATTACATAAAAGTCCAAATTTGACCAAAACCTCTTCATTCTTCACCTCCTCATAGCCGAACCTCTCCAGCCAAGAAGGAAAAACATTCTTCAACCTTTCATCTCCAAATCCTTGCTCAATCTTGAAAATCAACCGATTGTTTCTTGAATTAGTCCGTAGAATCATCTTGCTAGGAGGGTTTGAAGACCTTGGTGGTGTTGTTTTGGAAGAAAACTCTCTAAGCTTCAACCTTTCTTGAAGAACTAAGGTATATTGCTTGGAACTCATCTTTTGTTTCTAATTTTGGCCAAGTGGTGCCTTATAGTAGCTATATACGTGATTGTACGGAAGATTTGGTGGATTGGAGTGAAGTTTCCTAATTTTCTGATTTTTCTTGGAATTTTTCTGGTTTCATATGATGGATATGATTGGGTTTGATTTGGTGGTTCCAAATGGTGTTTTATAGCTCACTTGTGCGTTAATTGTAGTTAATTGCGGAAAATTGCCGCTTATGCGGAAAATTTCAGATTTAGGGTTTCAATTGGGGCTTTGCTATGGTTGATTGTTGAGCTTCTAATTGGCTAGTATTGAGGGGTATTGTGACCCTAATGAAGTATATTGAATGCCTTATGAAGTGTTTGGGTGCTTGTGGTTGTGTTGGATGGTTTTTATTGGTGTCTTGTAGGTTGGAAAAGCTGAAATTTTAGGGGAAATGTTGTCCGAGTGTCTAGGGCATTGGATCCTTGTGAGTTGGGTTGAGATTGACTAGAAATGAATAATTTTAGGGTTGTTTCTACTTTTAACCCTAAATATTATGTATTTTTCATTTCCAAGCTATATTTGGGTTTTACCTTAATAGTTCCTATTAAAAGGTATTCGACTCGTGTTTGAGTCTTAATTGTACTTTCTTGATTATTATAGGGCGTGCCGGTGATCCGAGGCTCACGTCGGGCGAAAACTTGTGAAATTTCTTTGTTTGACTTGGTGAGTGTACTACTCACATATTTGTTATTCCGTGGCTTTCTTGTACTTGAATTCTGTGTTTTGGACTAGTTGTGATGATTGTTTGGACTAGGTGAGGCGAGGGTGTACTTTACCACTCTCGTACTCTCTGGCCTACTTGTTTGGTTATGATATAACTTGAATACTCTTGACTGTGTTTGATTTGGTGTCGCTTGGATGCCGATCCTTAATGTAACTCTGGATCTGTACTGTTTACTTTGAGCTCTACCTCATTGGAAGTCAATGGACTCGAGCCAGTAAGGACTTGGTCGGGGACATTTGACAAGCCATGGGAACTGTATTTGAGAATCTTTGGGTATGAGACCCTAGATTCCGGTTTACTCGAGTAATACCAATTCTGTACTGTGTGGTGTTCGGGCCCGGTAAGGGGAAAGTGAGGTGGACGGATAATTGGAGTAAAGAGGGGTCTACGGTCATGATTACCTGGTATACATTGACGGAGAGTCAATGAGATGAGATCAAGTATGGCAAAAGAGGAAAAGGGCTCCTGAGAGCCATCCGTATCCTTTTATTCCTTACACTTGGGTGTTATTGCTTTTACTTACTTGACGAACGTATTTGGACTGAATGCTCTTGAGTTTATGTGATCTTGGTATATGTACGTGATAGTACCTCATTGGGCGAAAGCTCACTCCGTTAAATTTTGTTTTCCTTACAGGGAATTATCTTTTGGACTTTTGACTGTGATGAGTAAGTTGAGTGGAGCTAGTCGAGAGATTTTGTATAGCTCCTCAATAGTTGGAACCTTTGTTGTACTTGGATTTAAATGCTTTCTTTTGGCTTGTAACCATACAAAAGTGGTTTGTAATAGGGTGTATTCCTATCCAATGGATTGTACTTGACTTGTATATACTCTTTTCAGTGATTGTTGGAAATTTCTTGTAATCAATGGGATCTTGGCGGATTGTGACGTGGCAGCCACTATTCGCTTTACGTTTTGCCTTTTGTTTTCCCGTTTCTCATTTATTGGGTTGATTAAGCGCGCCAATATTTTCCCGAACGACTTGAGTTAGTGTTTGACCGTTTTAGTAGTCCTGGCGAGAGCTGGGCAGGCAGTCCGCTAACTCCTTTGGTACGGCTTAGGGGAAGGTGGGGCTGTCACACTTCTCCCCCGCCACCCCCTCCCCCCGCCACCCTCCCCTGTTCCACTCCTCCCAGCAGCCAAGTCACGCGACCAGCGCGCCTCTCAACAAGTCAGGCGCATCTTCGCAAGATGGGGGAAGAAACGGTGGTGGTGGTCAGCGACAGCGGTGGTGGTAGGTTGGGATGGGGGTGGAAGAAGAAAAAAAGGGAAGGGAAATTTTTTTTGTGTTTTGGATATTTTGAAATGTGTAGGTAAAAAACTTTGAAAAGTTTTTTGAGATTCTTGTAGCAAAAGTTGTTAAAAAACTAGTAGGTAAAAAACTTGTCCAAAAACCTGGCTTCCAAACAGGGCCTGCATTCTCTAATGCACTTCTACTGATGTGCCCATATGTTTTCTTTGTTTTTTTTTCTGTCAATGATAATAAATATATAACTTATTTTATACTAATCTACAGAGGAGGGGGAGGCTAAGAAGATTTGTGTATTAGGAGTTAGGAGGTATGCATACCTGACTAAACCAAGGAGATATTATGGCATCACTCTTGAATTTTTTTTGTCACAGGTAAAATTTAAACCCCCACCTATAACCTAAGGAGGGACTTAAGTCCCTTCTTTAGTGGCCATTATGCTCATATGTTTCACCAGAGCAATAGTTACTGAAGATGGTAGAACAGATTAAAAGAATTCATCAGTTACATATGCCTTTACAACACCACTTTTATAATAATAATAATTATTATTATTATTATTATTTTGAAAAAATCATTCAAAACATCCTTCGCATTTTATAAAATTACTTTTTTTCATCTCTCACTTTTAAAAATGTAATTTTACATTCCTTACAAATTTAAATTGGTCATTTTTTGTCCCTACCAAGATTTTTGACTAATTTTTGATTGAAATTCATCATGTGTCTTGCACATGATCATTTTTTAGGAGCAAAATTATCAAATCAAATTTCACATAATCCAATTCATAATCTCTCATATTTCATAATCTGAATTTTTGCGTCCATCATATTTCACAAAATAAATTTTTTCTTCCCTTATATTTCACGAAATGAATTTTTTCATGAGCTCTCACTTACACTTCCTCCCTCATACCATCCAACCAACTTGTTCAGGTGATATCAAATACAGATATATTATACGCTATTTGTGTTATTCAAGTAAAATCAAATAAATATATACATGGATTTTCATAAACACACAAAAAAAAAAACTATTGGTACGTATGTCACAAAATGAATTTTTTATCCTTTATTGATCATGTGTAGGAACAATTTTTTTTAAATCCATGTATATATCTATTTGATTTCGCCTGAACAGTACGAATATCATATAATATATCTATATTTGATTTTACCTATAACTACCATTAGCTTGTTTAGGTGAAATCAAGTAGAGATATATTACATGTTATTTATACTGTTCATGTGAAATCAAATAAATAAATATATATATATATATATATGAATTTTTAAAAATAAGAAAAAATTCTTCGTACACATGATCAATGAGGGATAAAAATTTTTATTTTGTGAAATATAGGGGACAAAAAAATTCATTTTATGAAATGAGAGAAATAAAAAATTTATTTTGCAAAATATAAGGAACTATGGATTAGATTATGTGAAATATAATTTGAAAATTTTATCCATAAAAAATGATTATATGTAAGGCATATGGTGGATTCCAACCAAAAACTTATCGAAACATAAGTAAGAATCAAATTTGATTAATGTGAATTTGTAAGGGATCAACTCATCTAATCTACCTCGTCTATCTGAAACATTGGCATATATGTACTACTCGTCTTTGTCATTCATTTTTTGCAAATCATGATCATATCTACTTCTAAACCAATCAAACCTTCAAATTTTCTTATTCTCAATGCATTTCCACTACTTCAATTGGTTTTTGTTAATTGGCCGACTGAGCTACAACACAAAAATCCAAATACAGGGTTGTTAGATTCAGGGAAGAAACCGGTAGGAAGGCGTAGGGCTAGCGGCCGACAAAATATTCAAGAGCTTCTAGCTTTTAATGAAACTACAGTACCTCCTCAAAAAAGACATGTTTATTTATACTTATAGCTGGTTATTTCATATCTATTTTTCCCTTTAATTTCTCATCATCCAAGAGTCTTATAACACATAAAATTTAACTTCAAAATATCAACTAAGGAAGCACCATATACATAGGAAACGAAGATAAAGAAAAGAAAATTCAACTACTGCTACAATTCTATTTATATTAGATTGACTTGAATTACAGAAAAGTAGAAACATTATGTAAAAGAAATAGCAAATCACTCCTATTAATCTTTTCAGGTGAAATCAAATAAACATATATCTGAATTTTCAAAAACAAAAAAAAAAGTTATTCGTATACATGCTATTTGTACTATTCAGGTGAAATCAAATAAATATATATAAATTTTCAAAAACAAGAAAAAACTATTCACACACATGATCAATGAAGGATAAAAATTTTTATTTTGTGAAATATGGGGGACCAAAAAATTCATTTTGTGAAATGCGAGAAATGAAAAAAATTATTTTATGAAATGTGAGAGACTATGGATTAAATTATGTAAAATATAATTTGAAAATTTTACTTATAAAAAATGATCACATGCAAGGCACATGATAGATTCCAACCGAAAACTAATCGAAACCTAGATAAGGACCAAATTTGATCAATGTGAATTTGTAAGAGACATAAATTATACTTTTAAAAGTGAGGGATAAAAAAGTTATTTTACAAAATGTGATGGACATTTTGAATAATTTTTTCTTTAAACAACATCACCAAAGTTTCTTGGAAAGGTGTGTGTATCCTCTAACTAAACTATACAACCCCAATGTACCACCAGACTTTATGAGTTGTGAGATGTTTCTTGAAGGATTAAATAGGAATCAAATTAAGCACTGGCCTTCCATGTTTCTCAAGATGGTAGTAGAAAATCTTGAAGTTGAACCTACTACACTTAGACAAGATCATCAAGAGGGAGTCATAAGAATGTTGTACTCCTCATTCATCACTAGGGATTACAAAGTGGTCCAAGTCGGTTTTGTTAATAGTAGGCTGATGGGATGTGGTTGGATATTGGGGAATCTATTTGGGAGGTAACGGATATTGTATATGGTAGATTATTTGGTAGATTATTGTCTGAGTTTGGTATATTATTATCCATCAACCATTGCACCTTGACAAGAATGGGAATACGATAAGAGGTAGGTTGGAAGACAAATGTGTTGCCTTGGTTGTGCAATGTAGTCGAAAAAGTCCAACATAGAGCTAACTTATTTTCCCATCCATTGAGCGGGGATACAAATCTGTTGTATGGTGTGGAGACTTTAGAAAATATTATTGAGTACATAGATGCTCATAAGATACTTGAGATTAAGCTGCAATTACCTTATAGGAATATGAAGTTGGTAGAGATTCTTGATGGGATATCAAGTATTCCGGACCATCATTACACTAATTTTGTGCGGGTATTTGAGAGATTGCATGCTTTTGATAATGTTAGAGTTGATTAAAGAGGAGCAAAATTAACAAGTTTGGGAGGTTGTTTTGTTGGACATGCAAGGGTATCCTGCTCCGAATGGCTTTGAGAAAGATGTGCGAAACCTGTTTAGATTGGGTTGATAGTGCGGAACCTATTCCAGTATATCCTCACATACATTGACAAACCTATTGCGGCTTTGGATCACTTATCTGCCCATATCTTGGTGTAACAATTCCAGCTGATTGCTTCCTTCCCCTAGTGTGTTTAGGCTTTTAGTATCTAACCATTCAATAATCAATAGAACTTGAAAATTATGGGTTTTAGTATCCTCTAACTCAAGGGGAAGGGACATGTGCAATTGATATGAACAGCGTTAACCTTTTTCTTCTTAATAATGTTAACCTAGATAATGTTATTTGTACTGATATAGATAACACCCCTTGATATATTTTGAAAGAAACATACTCAACAATTTTACCTTATAAAACCTTTTTTTTAAGAAAAGAAGAGCCTTCTAAAAAAGGGGAAAGTCACCAGCCAATTGTTTGGACTCAATGGGAAGGGACGTGTGCAATTTATATGAACAATCTTAGGTGGCGTTTGGTTCGCATGTTGGAATTGGATTCGAATTCGGATTTGGAATCATTCATCTTGGATTTGGAATAAATCAATTATTCCAATACATTTGTTTGGTTCAGTATCAGGAATGTATATCATTACTATAATTGATGTTTGGTTCATTGGCTTTTTGTAAATGGGATATAAGAAATTTTCACCAATTAAATATATTAGTATAAATGTATTAGTAAATTTAGTATAACTAATTAATAATTTCTATTAGTAAACATGTATAATTATTAGTATAATTGATAATATCAATTATATTACATAGAATACATTATATAACACACATATAACTAATAATATCATTATTATAAGTTTGTAACTAATTAAATTAAAATATATATAATTAAATATAATTATACAAATGTTATAATATAAATATATAATATATAAATATTAATTATACTAATATATTATATAATTATAACGTATATTTGTTCTTGGAATATTTGTAATTGTTTTTAAAAGACTAATATTGGTACTATTTAAATTGAAGTACTTGAGTGATACACGAGGGTGAGTGAAACACGTGAGGGAATGAGAGAGGTGTTTTCCGTTCACCTGTTTGTTGTTTTACAGGTTTAAACATGGTGAATGAAAATGAGCTTACCATTTCCCAACTTGCACTAAAAATGGATGCGATGTGGGCAGAAGTTCAAAGAAGGTTCGACCTTGAGTTCGAATCCATACATGAACAAATGGATCATTTGGATTCATCAAGGAATTCCTCTAAGAAATCTAGAGGGAAGCAACCTATGAATGAGTCTAGTGATTCAAATGCGGACACAGAGATTGATGAAATTATACCAAGGAAACCGAGGAGACACACCAAACTAGTTGGTGATGCAATCAAAAGAATTAAGATGAAAATTCCACCTTTTCAAGGCAAATTTGATCCGGATGCATACCTTGAGTAGGAGAGGCGAGTGGAATTGATTTTTGATTGCAATGACTACATGGATGAGCAAAAGTTGAGATTGACTATAGTAGAATTCAACGACTATGCTATAGTTTGGTGGGATCAAGTGGTTACAAGCCGAAGGAGGTGTGGTGAACCATCTATAACCACTTGGACTGAGCTTAAACGTCTCATGAAGAAGCGATTTGTACCAAGTCACTGCCATAGAGATTTTTAGGATGAGGAAGATATAAATTGTATATTAGTTTTTCTTTAAGTACCATGGATACCTATAGTTTTACAAAAAAATGTTCAAAATATTGTTTCAAAACAAATTTTTGCTAGATGGCAAGCAATTTTATCAGTATTTGATTTTGATATAGAATTCATTAAAGGAGAAAATAATTCTCTTCCTGATTTTTTAACAAGAGAGTTTTTACAGGGAAATTGAGCAAATTAGGGAATTGATCAAAGCAATTCGAAAAAGATACAATGATAGAAACAATACCAGAATAGGGAAAATTTCCACAGATTGAGTATCTGTAAGAATTACAATATTTTTATCATGGATAATAGCTTGCTTCAAGTTGTAAGATATTTATACAAATATGAACAGCGTTAACCTTTTTCTTCTTAATAATGTTAACCTAGATAATGTTATTTGTACTGATATAGATAACACCCCTTGATATATTTTGAAAGAAACATACTCAACAATTTTACCTTATAAAACCTTTGTTTTAAGAAAAGAAGAGCCTTCTAAAAAAGGGGAAAGTCACCAGCCAATTGTTTGGACTCAATGGGAAGGGACGTGTGCAATTTATATGAACAATCTTAGGTGGCGTTTGGTTCGCATGTTGGAATCGGATTCGAATTCGGATTCGGAATCACTCATCTTGGATTTGGAATAAATCAATTATTCCAATACATTTGTTTGGTTCAGTACCAGGAATGTATATCATTACTATAGTTGATGTTTGGTTCATTGGCTTTTTGTAAATGAGATATAAGAAATTTTCACCAATTAAATATATTAGTATAAATGTATTAGTAAATTTAGTATAACTAATTAATAATTTCTATTAGTAAACATGTATAATTATTAGTATAATTGATAATATCAATTATATTACATAAAATACATTATATAACACATATAACTAATAATATCATTATTATAAGTTTGTAACTAATTAAATTAAAAAATATATATAATTAAATATAATTAGACAAATATTATAATATAAATATAAAATATATAAATATTAATTATACTAATATATTATATAATTATAACGTATATTATATATTAAATATAATAATAATTATTATTAAATATTATTATATTTGAAATAAAAAATATAATTATAATTATATAATTTATTAATGTTATATACACCTATATATTATAATTATATGCACATATAATATACATTTATAAATATACATATGTAATATAAATATATTATCATATAATATTAATAAATTTATAATATGTATTATATAAATATAATTATATTTAACTAAATAATTATAATATATATTTATATAATATACTAATATTACAATAAAATATATAATTATAATATATATTATATAGAAATATAATTATATATAATCAATATAAATGTTAATTATACCAATATTATATAATTATAAAGTATATTATATATTAAATATAATTTTTATTATATATTATTATATTTATAATAAAAAATATAATTATAATTATATAATATATTATTATATACACCTATATATTATAATTATATGCACATATAATATACATTTATAAATATACATATAAAATATAAATATATTATTATATAATATTAATAAATTTATAATATATATTATATAAATATAATTAGCTTTAATTAAATAATTATAATACATATTTATATAATATATGATATATGTCTATATAATAATTAGAAATATATGATATAATTACACTAATATTATAATAAAATATATATAATTATAATTCAATATTATAATTATAATATATATTATATACATAATTATATATAAATGTATATAATTATATATTAATTTCTTTAATGGGTGGCGGGATGGGCCCCATTTCTTAATGGGAATTAGACTTGGGTTTTGGCCAAAACCCTTCAAGTTACTAAGGAATTGAGGAATTCTAAATTTTTAGATATAATTGCAAAATTCCGATTCCGATAATATTAATCCAATTAGCAATTATGGGGTTTATTCCAATTATTCATTCCGAAACCCTCTTACTAAACGCCACCTTAACCATTTTCTTCCTCATAAACTAGATAATGTTATTTGTTTTGAGGTGGACAACCCTTGATGTAATTTGACAATTTTACCTATAAAAAATGATCACATAAAAGGCACTTGGTGGATTCCGATAAAAAATTAGTCGAAACCTAAATAGGGATCAAATTTGACCAATATGAATTTGTAAGGGATATAAAATTATACTTTTAAAAGTGAGAAATGAAAAAGATTATTTTACAAAATGTGAGGGATATTTTGAATGATTTCCCTATTATTTTTGCTTGTCCTTGATAGTCGACATTATAGTTCGAATACAGCGGACAATTACCTACTTGTTAACTAAATCTACAAATTGATCTTCAATTGTAATCCCTGTTAAGTTAAATGGACAAAAAATTTAGAACTTCTGTGATAAACTGCATTGCAGAAAGAAATGTAATCTAATTTAGAGCAGAAAATGTGGATCAGAATTAGCTGATGTTGTTTCAGGAGTTCATGGAGTTAAAAAATAAATGCACTAAAGTAGCGCTTATGAGAAAGTCTTATATAATATTAGTAAAACCAGTGTTTTGAACACCAGAGGCAGATTTTACCAGTACATCAGTTGTAAGAAGATGGTCTTTTCCCGTTTTGTACTGCAAGAGATGGTACTAAGCATATAAAACCATGAATGGAGGTCTTACTGCAGGTAGTAATTCTGCAGAGGCAATATAGAAGTAGATGCAAGTAGTCCCACAGTTTGTATAACAGAGACAATTTTTTTTTTTTTGTGTGTCTTTTCTCTGATTAGCAGCAAAGTAGTCGCTTCCAATTTGATAGCTCAAATCAACATTCTCAGAGGAATTGCTTATTAGTGGGGGAACCAATGTATTGGAGGGACATATTTTTAGTTACTCCAATGCACTACATATTAGAATAAACTTTCCTTATTTTCTGATTTCTTGATTTTCACCGAATTTTTCGCCGTCAGGTTTAGAGATCGTCTAGTCTAGCAGTGTAGTGAAAAGGGTGTGGGGAGAGATGGAAGGACAAAAAAAAATTTTTGTTACTTTTGGAGCGTTAATAACGAGCTATTGAAAGCACTCAATTTGTACATTTTTGTCGAACGAAAAATGCCTGCTAATTCGTAGAAGCACAAGGCGAGGATAATAGCAATAGTCAGAGAAAGGCTGTTGCAGAACAGGAACAGAGATATGGGACTATGAAGGTCAACACAGATGCAGTCACCGGAGACAATAGATTCGTACAAGGAGTGGTACGTAGCTGGAAACTCTAAGGGCGAACTAGTAGCAATATGCACTGATCCTGTGAGGCAAAAGATGGAGGCTCAACTATAGCTGAGTCCAGGGGCGGAGGGAAGGGGGGGGGGGGGGCCAGGGTTTGCCCCCCCCCCCTCAATTGTTAAAAAAAAAAAAATTTAAGTAAAAAATTTTTTATTATATTGTTTTGCCCCCCCCCTCCAATTGTTATAAAAAATTTTCTAAGTAAAAAAAATTTTTCTTATATTGTTTTGCCCCCCCCAAAATATTGATAAAAAATTTCACTTTGCCCCCTCCTAAGGACCCAAATAATAATGTTTGAAAGCTATTTGGACTTTGTCCAAATAACATAGACTCGCCCCCCTAATTGCAATACCTAACTCCGCCACTAGCTGAGTCAATGATCATCAAGCTAGCACTGCTGAAAGCACAACAAGAACGGTGGAGAAATGTGGCTGTTCAATCAGCTTGCAAATCAAAATGTTAGTAGGAATGGCGGCAAGGATCTAGGAAATAATAGTAGTGTGCTACTGGAAGATGTTATTGCTCTTTCAAACACTCTCTCCGTCGTATTTCGAGATTTTAATTTTTAAAAATAGTGACTTAACGGTGATGTCAGTGAATTTATTTTCAAAATTGCCTTCGAGAATTAGAATTTTAAATTTGAATTTATTATGAAGTATAGATAAAAAAAAGTAGGAATATTATTGAAAAAAGAGATAAAAAGTAATTTTAATTTTAATAAGATGACAAACATTTTGATAATTTCAAAATAAAAAATATGACAATTTTAATAACGGAACGGAGGTAAATGTTTCTTTTCCTTTATTAGAAGGGAAGGGAATCGGGTTAATCACGAAGTTTTAAAAAGGCCAAATTTTTGCACAAGCGTATTGGGCTTCCCAATAGTAGCCCATGTGTGCTACATTGTCTCAATACAAGCCATCTAACGCCACAGGCAGGCTCCGCAGGACACCAATATACAGGCTCAATGGCTAAAATATTCAAGGTTTGACCTGCTTTATTACTCTTTTCTGCCTTTAAGACTCGTTTTATTTTAAGTATGTCTTTTAACACTTAGATTCTCTAACAATATGCCTTCGATACCCTTTTTTTTTTTTTTTTTTTGTAAGTATGTCTTTATTACAGGCTTTAGGTTCACTAATTATGGTCCAACATTTGAGATTATTGTTTTGAAACCTATAAGCTACAATTACAAAATCTTTCAACATTAATGTGTGCGGGTTGAAGTTTATTTGAAATATCTTTTTCTCTTTTTCATTATCGTGCTTTAAATGATCAAATGTATGTGATATTAAAAGATACTTTCAATACGCGTTTAAGAATAATAATTTTTTTAAAAAAATTATTATGTATCTAAATGGAGCCATTTTGCCTTATCTTTTGTAGATATTTATTTGCAAACATCCAATTTCAAGAATAAAAAGTTTTGAGTTCATATCCCCATGACTCTCTTTTCGTTTCTTAAAGCCCACCTCATACTAGAAAAAATTAAAAATGATGAAGGTGATTTACAATTAAAGCAGGCATACAAGAAACATGAGGACTAGCAACTAAGAACTTTTGATAATTGTGGTTGGACCGTAGAAGTTTTAAAAATACTTTTAGACCAAAGGAAAGATAAGGAGGGACTGCTACACCCTCCCAATATCCAGAACATTATATGATTTTTCCTTTACAATTGCAAAGTTCAAAACAAAAAAAAAAGGAAAACCCATTGAAATTCCAGCATTAATATTAGGAAATATTTGTTTTAATTGCTCATAAAAAATCACAAATAAAAATTTACCCCCCCCCCCCAAAAAAAAGTGTAAAACTTTCACTCATCTTTATTTGTTAAGTCATCGCTAGCATACCTAACAGCCAACCATGGAGTAACATATTAATGCTTCCATTTTTTTGTCTTCCTGATAAGCATCCCACGATGCTTCCACGTTTGTTGGAAATATATATATAAAAGCATCCCACGATGCCCGGAATGGATTTTCTGCAATTACAAGAATAATTAGCAGCTCAGTTCAAGTCAAGATTGAATTGATACGTTTTGAGACAGATATTCCTTCTCTTTCTTAAATGAAAAATTTGTTCAAGCAATTTTATCACTTTACTTGCGTTTCAATTATGACTGCAGATCATTCTTCACATCACACTCACAATTGAATTCATGAAATAGTAGTATCAAGTTATCCTTTTATTGTCAATTATCTTATCAAGTTTTAAATGAGTTTGGATTTCTAGGGTTTTGGACTTGATCCTATGCCATCCCTAATTGCGTCACATTGGGGATTGAAAAATTTGTGCAATTATAGTTCTGATTGTAAGGTGCAACAAATTAATGATGGATGTAAGCTTAAGTTGAATTGAATGAATGAGATTGGTTCTGGAATACTACTATAATTTTCGAAGAGTGTCAAAAATTTATAGTACTCCCTCCGTCCTATTGAAAGTATCATACTTTTCATTTTGGTATGTTTTGTAAAACATTTGTCATGCTGAAAAAGTAAAAGCACATTTTAATCTCTCTTTCTAATAGAGTTTTTTTTTTCTGATCATATACATGTTACTATTCAAATTTAAAATTTGAATTTGTGAGAGTAAAATTGGAAAGAGAAACACAAATATTACAATCAAACATTATTTTTAAAAAATTGAATTTTTCAAACATGACTAAATAATTAAAATGAAGGAAGTAGTATGTTTTTGTATTTAGTTGTGCTAATTTCTACATTTGCCGTATTAGTATTTTCATGTGTTGTATTAGTATGCTATTGGCCGAGTGCAGAGGCCCATGATTGATATTGGATTCCTTAAATTTTGCACCTCAATCATGTGCACGTGTCGCATTTTCATTTGCTAAAAACTCAAATCCAATTTTTCCCATTTCCAACCGGGCAACAACTCTCTTGACCGGACTCACACTCACCCTTCTGTTCTAAGACAGCCTACCCCGCCCTCTTCCTTCCTTCCTTCCTTCCATCCTTCCTATATACACCACATAAAAAGCCAAAACAACGTCAGAGCTACTACTCTTCCCCTCTTCCCTCTTTCCTCTACTGTGTGACTGTGTGTGAGATGCAGTGAGCAACCCCCAAAACCTCCTCTTCCTGCGTGTGTTTCTTTGAAGCTATAAGGTACGAATTTACACCCTTTATCTTTTTTTTTTTTCTTTTTGTTCTGCAAATTCATCTACTTTTTCTATTTCTCATATTTTTCTTCTTTGCCTCTTGCAAACCTCTGGTACAATCTAGTCTTTCCTTCTCTGGTTTTGTGGGACAAATTCTGCTAGTCCTTTGATCAGGATGCTGTGGAATACCTTTCATCATGTTTCGTCAGTCTCCCTTTTCTTTAAAATTTTCGACGATGGAGAAAACTTGACGAGGAAGGGAAATGGAGAGTGAGAATGGAGTCCTCATTCACAGGCTAGGAAGAAAGAACTCTCGACCATTCTGGACGTTAGTATGGTTTATGTGTGAGTTTCTTATGGATCACAGTCGTTACTGAAAGTGATTTTAAAGAAATTACCATCATTTTGATCCTAATCCCACTTTTTTTCCCATCTGATTTCAGCTTTTAGAGTTTGAATAATCATAACTATGAGTAAAGAACAAGAGCCCAGATGATGTTGTTTTCTTTTTTTTCTGCTAACTGCATTGTCTTTAGCAGGCAGCAGCAGTACATTTTTTCTCGAGATCTGCATCTTCCAACTTGTTTCTTTCTAATCTTCTTCGTATCCCAGCTTCTTCTCATATGGTAGTGGCTGTTTGTCTGGCTTCTATTCTATTCGGACCGGTCCTTAAAATTGTCCTTTCATGATAAGACATCAATAAATGTACACGGTTTTTCTATCATAACATCATCTGTTGCTCAGTCTGCCACCCCATTTCTTCCCATGTCACGTTCTCACAACATGTACTTAATTTAATTAGTCAGCCTAAAATTACATGTTCTAAAATTCCATTTTCAATTATTTAGATCAAATCTTGAAGTATTGCTAGTAAAATTTACTCCACTTGAATTTTTTGAGTGAAAAATCAATTGGAGAGGATAGCATTAGGGGGGCACAAAATCCTTTTTTTTTGGGTTCTAGAGAGGGTATGCTCAGCTAATATAGTGCACGTGATTGTCACATGTTTTTTCCCTTCTATAGAAAAAAAAAAAAACACAAACTGCAAAATAGGTAACATTAGCTGGTCTTGTATGCAATTGCTAGCTGTAGAGTGATGGAGACTTTGAAAAGGGACTTTCTATTCTATGATGTTTGAGGTCCTTATCAATCTTGCTAATCTTTGCGGAGGGAAAAAGAAAATATTTTATTATTGGTTCATGTTTAATAAATAAGGTAATGTGTTCAACTTGTCATCATGTGTAGGTCCTAGTTTGTTTGTCTGTGAAATGGAAACAACAAAGATGAAATTGCAGACGATTGGTGGTTGTGGCGGTGAAGGTGGTGGTGCTATCCTTACACCACCCTCTAATCATTCACGCCGTGGAAGCTCCGGCAGGCCCTCTTGGCTTCTCTTCACCATCGCCGGTATGCTATTCATCTCTCCATTTTTCTTTCACCCCTACTGAATATTTTCTTTCACCCCTATTGAATCTTTTCTTTGGACATTAATTTTTTACCCTCCAATTGTATTCAAATTTCTCATTGGGATCCTTAACAGAATTTATGTCCCAAATTAAATGCCATCTTTCAATTCTTGAATTTGATTTTGTGATATTATTGGATACCATGTATCAATAATAATTAATGTGTTGAAAAGGGTCTGAGCCTGACCAGTTTGCTAGGTGCTAGGGGGCAAAGCCATTTAGACATTGGCATTACTACTTTTATTGCTGCTGGTACTAGGACTGGGCGGGGCCAGGGCTTGAATAGGTAAGGTGGCCCGTTTAATAATAATTTTGTCCACCTGCAAAATCTTTTGCCACCTTCCGTATCCAACAATAGGAGTATGAAATAATTTCCACGTCGTACGTACGCCAAAATATATCCCCTATTACACTTTCATTTTTGCATTTCGTTAAAATGTACTTCAAGTTCTAGTAGATGTATGGAAAAAATACGAGATCAATTTAACACGACAGATAAATATAAGAGAGGGTAATAATCATTAATATGTGTATATATATATATATATATATATATATATATATTAGGTCAGATTGAGTTTATAAATATGTTAACGAGCGTTTGTTTATCATCGGGTACTCGTTAAAAAAAATTTTTTTTTTGGTTTCATTAAATCATTTTTTGGGGCTAAATTAACAATTAATTCGTACATAGTTAGATGGATAGAATTGATTATGTTTGAAAATTGAGGTTTTACATTTTTCTTTCCATTTCATTTCCTTCCTATTGGGGTGGTTATACTTGTGAGATAGAAGAGGTCACTTTCTTTCCTATTTATGGGCCTGTAACCTGTATTTCTGCTGTTTCATTTCAAAATTTGAATAGAAATGTCGAAAAAGTTTGAAGAGTAGAGTCCTCGATCTCTACCTACTTCTAAGATGCCGTGTTGCAGAGACTGATTGATTCTCTACAGTAACAATTTCATCTCTTTTTCCTCATTATTGGGCACAACTTTTTGTCTTCTATGACGTAGCTGATCACGACCTTTCTATCCGTAGCCTTATATTTTGGGTAATCACAAATTACCTGCCCACCCATGTTGGAGTGTTTCAATAATAAATTACTTCAAATAATATTGGGAGTGTTTGGATACACACATTATTCCAAATAATATTTCGCTTGCATCATAAACATATTTCCCAATCCACCTTTTTATATTTCCAATCAACTTTTTATCTCACATACATCACATCACAAAAAGTGCTACAGTAATTATTCCAAATAATATTTCAAATAATACTCTATCCAAACAAACCATTAATTTTTTTTGCATCATAAATATATTTTTTAACTCATTTTTAATTATATTTTATCTCACATATATCACATCATAAAAAATGTTACAGTAATTATTCCAAATATTAATATTTCAAATAATACTCTATCCGAATCAATCAGATTTTTTTCTACAAAAATCTGCAATTTTAACAATCACACTTGTTAGTTAGTAATTATCCTTTGTTTGTTTTTTTTTTTGGGGGTGAATTTCGAGAGACAGACCATGTTGACAAAAAAAGCCAACAGACCATAAGATTCCTTAGACCTTTTACATTTCCCATAACTTTTCTCAGATGTTGGGATACTTCCAATTTGTGATAAATGTGAGCTTTTCTCCTCTATCATGCCACTGACCGTGACATGTCAATCCCCTTTCATAACTCATTATTTTTCGAATTTCAAATCATTGCCTTGCTGCGTGTCAATGAGGCCAATTTTTGCCAGGGCTTTAACATGTGCAGCTGAGATGGGATTTTCTATTTAACTATTTTTTTAGGTGGTCTTTTGTAATTTTTTTTTGTTGGAGGGGGAGGGGAGTCCATTGGCTGCCGTGGATATAATTTGTTGTAAAAAATGTGAGAATTAAATTCAAAATTTTAAATTTTAAAACGATTGATAGTGCTATAGCACAAGTAGTCCAGGATCAACATTTAATGCAATTAAGTTTTTTTTGGTGGCAGATTTTGACGAGAGAATGAAGATGTTGGCAGTAAATGTTTCTGAAGAGGACAGTGCTGACAGTTTTGCAAAACGAGCTGAGGAGTATTATCAGAAGCGCCCTCAGCTGCTGGCCTTGCTTCAAGAACTGTACAATGGTTACGTTGCATTAGCAGACCGCTACTGCCAAGCCCTTGCCAAGAACAATCATCACAGGCGCCGATATTCGTCTCCCATTTCGCCCTTCAATTTCAATGAGAATGATCAGTTTGATGAGGAGGATGCAGGAGATGTTATTGACTCTGATGATGCCGCTAGCTCTCTGTCTTACCAGACTCCCTTTCCAGCAGCAGCAGCAGCACTGGATCCCGATATGATCGTAGCAGACCTGGTCATGAAATCTGTCGACTGTGATCTCATCTTAAATGAGCTCATTGCTATGGAGAGGAAGTCGGGCGAGTCCTCGAGGAAAATAGAGTTGCAGAAGAGCTTGTTGGATGTGTTGGAGTCGGAGAGGCTGATACTACTGAATGAGAATGCCAGTTTAGTTTACAGAGTGAATGCATTGCTGGAAGAGAATAAGGGGTTGACTTCAGAATCTTTGTTTATGAAAAGAAAGGCAGCTGATCTTGCAAGGTGTGTGCTAAAGCTGAGGGAAGATCACAGGGTGTGCATGCTGAGTCGAAAAATCGAGGATCTTCAAGGGCAGATATGTGGTTTAGAGAAGAAAAACAAGGATTATTATGATCAGCTTGTCAAACATGAAGAAGAGAAGAAAAGTAAGGCCATCACGGTGAAGACTAACAGTAAGAGTCCAGCTGAGGTGACTCTGGAAGACTGCTTTCACGTGAATGAAGATGTTTCTTGCTTTGGCAGCCTGGCCAATATGAAGAAAGGTTGTCTGCCTACTAATGGTAGCATCAATCGAGGGAGGAGGGCTTCAAGGCTATGGAACAGGGTCAAGAAGATTGATTTCTTTCTCTGTGTACCCCATGTCAACTCTACATAATGCAAAGCAGAAAGAGCATTTCTGCAAGTATGATTGGGAAGAAGATAGCAGTATATATCCTAGTAGTATGAAATGTTTTTGATAGGTGCATTCAGTACTGTTTACAGACTACCAATATTTCCCCTCCATGTCATTAGTCAGTATTAGCTTGGCATATGTAGGAGGAAGTACTTATGCAACTCTAAGAGCGTTAGTGATGTAAGGGGAAAAAGATTGATGCAACTTCAACTCTATATTTATGGCAAATATTTTGAAGAGTAATGGAAAAACTACCATCATATGGAAAATGTTGAATCAGTGCGGGAAGAAAACATTCTTTCAGAAGAAAAATCATAGAATCATAGAAAGGTCTGATACAACAAAGAAAACTGTTTGCATTCATTAATGATAACTTAGGATAGTTAATGTGTAATGCAATCTGAAATGATAAAGAATTACCACCACAGAAACATTAAAAGATCAGGTTTACCTTATCATCATTTAAAAAAAGCACCGGGGAACTTTTTGGCATATTTTTAATGTTAAAATCTCTTGAGAAGTTAAAAAAGAAAAAATTATGAGAAGCAATTCAGGAAGTCATCCCACTGAGAGAGGAAAAAAGAAGCTTCATGGAGGAATATCTATGACAATTTCAGAGTCTATACATGGAATAAAATTATGGCCAAGGGACTATGTACATGGTAACAAAATCAGTTCAACTTTAGATTTATTAACCACCTCTAATTATACAGCTTAAGTTGTTAACTATTTTATTTTCATCATTTCCTATCTAAACTGAAGTTGAGGATGTTGAAAAAATGGTCTTCTTTTATTCTTACAACGCTAGGTGGTCACTTCAATTGATTCCAGATGTTTCGCACTGGTAGAGAACTGGCTGGTAATCGAGGGCACAGATATTGGTATACCGAAAAAGGCCAGGTGGAAGAAAAATATATCAATCCTGTGAAGAACCCATGCAAGTTATGAAATCACATAAACATAGACAAACAGAAAGAACATAAATGAATATGACAAACACGAGATTGGCATTGTGCATCTAAATTTATTGTTGAATTCATGATCACACTTTTGACAGGCAAAACAAGACAAAAATTTTCATCACAACAAATAATTTGGAAGCTCAGTTCGAAGCTGAGAATTAAAGAAATTGAATATTACCCGTATTGTTTTCAACATTCCGCAAGAGCATGCAAGCAAAGAATAATCCCATTGATTTAAGGTGTACGCTACACAGAGCAGAACAGGATTATTGGAGAGTAAAGCATCACACAATTTACAAGACAGAATCTATTTCACTTTGGAGTAGTTGTTCTAATATCGCAGAACATTAAGAAGCCAACTAAGAATTGATGAACCAAAATCCTTTGTTTTTTAGCTTTAACAAAGCTTCTATTCAAACAATATCCTGAATGCACAGAAAGATTGAAGGTCTAACACCTTTACCAGACAAGAATATCAACAGACCCACCATCAATTTCTCCGCTTGACAATATGCTCAATATTCTTGTTTATTTTGCTTGACCTGATGAGTAACAGATGATGTGCTTACCTCCATAATGTTAATTTAACATATGTACACATGCAGCCGAAATAATGCCTTAAGCTGAATTTGCAGGAGAGAGTTTCTCTTGAAGCGCTGCAATCCGAGCCTGAAATAAGACGGGCAGAGACAACCAAGTTAGAAATATTGTAAACACTGCACAGAATAATCATAGAATCCTCAAGTATGAGAGCAGATATGTCAAACCAAGGCAAAGATTGAAATGGTGTTTACTAAGGCACAAGAAAGCTTGAACTTTTATTTCCATTACCTACACGTAATCTCAAAGCTCATGCAAGTCTTTGTCTACCATGTTCTTTTATGCATATTAAATTATACAAACTTGATAAGCTTTAAGTTACAGGCATTGTTGAGAGGATAGGGTGAAAATTGGCAATCAAATTTGTCATATTTTATTACTCCTTCCTACAGTGTCGTATAAATTATATAAAAGCGGAAACTGCCAATTTTTGATCTCTAAAGGATGCTAGAAAACAGAAGTTTCTATGAAAATCTTAACCAACTTGGAGTTCTATAAACCATCTTATTGACTAATATGTATAACTACTTTTAGCATTCATATTGTAACCTTCTAATTCTTCTTGAAGAAGAATCAATGAAAATTTCTGATGATAACAGCAAACTTTTGTTTATTTGTTATTCTAGAAAATTTTGCTGACAACAAGAGGCAACTTAGTTTTGAAATTTCGATGACCTTCGAAGACCTTTAGATGATCCATTTTTCAAAATGATGAAAACCAAGAAAGCATGACCCTAGAACCATATCAATTGTAGACTTCAATTCTGCAGCAACTGGACATATCAAACAAGAACAAGTGAACCCAGGATTTAGTTACCCTGTTGGTGATATTTTTACCAACTGAACATATATCACATGGATTATGGACCATTGAGCTTATCTATGTTAAGTTTTGACTTTTTTTTTTTTGGTCAGTTTAAAATGGTTAGAAATATTGGCAATGCCACCTTGTTAGTGTCCATTACATTGGCACTACAAAAAAGCCTGTTCCTACATATAGGCATAATTTACAATCTCACTGTCAGAATCATTTCATACCAGATAGGGCCATAAAACATCTTTGATGAACATGTGTACCAGAACATCAAGATGGCATCACACCTTGAAAGACTTGGAACGGCAAAGAGAAGGTTCTAACTCCAAAGCCATTGCATAAGACTTTTCTGCAGCATCAATTTGGTCCATGGCCATTAAAGCATCACCTTGGCAGATATAACCCTGTAACATCAGCAAACATTGAACATCTCCACCAAAAGGCTATTATACCTTGTTTCTGAATCTCTAGCATGTTCTGTGCATCATGCTTCTGGTAGTTCATTGATGACTGTGCCAAGCACATCCTATACATTCAGTCCAGGCTTGCAATTTTAATCTTTTCTTTCCTAATTCTCTGAAGTTGAGGAAGAGGAAAATGGCCAGAATAAATAAAACAAAAGGAAGATGTAAGCAATTAGCTGTCAGTGCAGTCAATGAGGCTTGGCCATGGGAAGGTGAGCTTAAGTAAAGGACCTTTATCTAACAGACTAATTCGGCTTATCATATAAGTCAAAGTTAGGCAGATTTGTAAAGCAGGATTCAGTGCTTCAAAGCAAATGATCTGTAATTGGGGCCATTTTTGTTTGCAGTGAGCTTAGAATAGCAAATCATTATGTTCTTGAAGCATAACAAGAATGAACATGTGGCAAACCTCAGGGTAATTTGCTGCAAGGGTCAAAGCTTCTTTAGCATCATCAAGAGCTTCGCAGATGTTTCCCATGGCTAACCTTGCTGTAGACCTAAATGATAGAACAAAACATGAGTTCCTTATTTCCTATCACCGAACATAGTGCCTTGACCCTCCTCATATATCACACGATTCAACTCTGTGACAACCTATAAGATTGCTAGATACTAGTGCAAGTCCACGAATATTGATTCACAGAAATGTGTGATCACTACAACATCCAAATTCAGCAAATAATAGCACACAAACATCACTATAACTATAACTCCTTGACTAATGAAAAAGCAATCAACTAGAAAAAAAAATTAAGGAATGTTAGCATGTTAATTAGTTCGGACGCTATTACTCATCCCAGTTACAGAAACAAGAATGTTTGCATCCTAACGAATATATATTAAGTGAATATTGCATTTCCCAATAACGGAAAAACGCATAGGTAAACAAATATGGAATACCTGGTTTTATACGTTATATGGACACCTCCAAATGGCCTAAGTTCTATAGCCTGCAATGAACAACATTGGCATTATCTAACAGCAATAATCAAGAAAATCCAATCATCTGCAAAATCAAAACTGTCATTCAAAAACACCGAAAAGCCCAAGGGAATATCCTTGAGAGAAAATCAAAATGCAAAGCAAAGTAAAAGTGCACTTTTTAGCAGCTGTGAAGATAATGCTAATCAAGTAACTGGCATAGATTAACTACACAAGATCCTCTCAAACCCAGTTACTGATGGACGCAAATCCATCCATTTCTTGTACCTGCCATGCCAATTTTCACCTTCTATTCTGCCAATCAACTCAATTCTACACCACTTAACAACATCCTTTATGATTCCTCCTCTCAACACAATTTTATCAAGTAAATCAAATAAACCTATACTCTTCTTAAATAACAAACTCAGTAACAGTACGTTAATTCTTCCACTATTCCTTCACCACAAAAACTGGAAAAATCAAATTCCATCTTCAATCAATTGAGGTAAAAAGGCAATAGAATGTCAAGTTATTTTTTCTTGGGAGTTTGCATTCTCATACCTGTGAAAGAAAAAGCAGGGCTCCATCAAGATTCCCCTTTTCCATCTCATCTTCAGCTCTCTTCCTCAAAGCAAATGCTTCCAGACACTCCATACTACTCCTCTCAAAGTCCTTATCATTCCTATGAAAACCGCAAACCAACGAAACCATGAGACGGGCTGCTTTAGCAGGGGACGAACAGTGGCCGACAAAGGCTCCCTGAGGCAAAACGACGACGTTGGGACCGGCACCACAGCGGCCGAGGCAGCCACAGGAGTTGACGGAGACAGAAGGAGGGGCAATCCCAGATAGAATTTGAAGAATATCTAATGAACCTTGTCTCCTGCAAGTCCTGTTAGTGCAAACTCTTATTTCTTCTACTGATGTTGTCTTTTCATTATTATCTATACTGTTCTTTATAGATGATGTTTTTGGCCTTGAAATAGTAGTTTTGATGATGTTTTTTCCTCTAGGAAAAATGGGTCCTGCTGCTGCAAGAGATGGAGGTCTGAAGCTACTTAGATCAGGCTTCTTCATGCTAGCGCCGAGTCGTCTTTGGCCTTTGGGTCGCTTCCCACTTCCCAAGCCAGTCTGCGTTGGTGAATTCAGTTATTAGTGCTCAATTTGGCTGGCAAACTCAACTCTAACAAGAGCTTTAACTTTTAAGGGGAAGTTTTTTTTTTTTCCCGAGTGACAGTAAAAATATAATATGCTTAGAACTCGTTTGGATTGTTAATTTTTGGAAAAATATCTAGTAGTAATTTGACGTGTATCAGGTAAAAGGTAATTGAGAAATATATTCATGAAAAATATAAAAGTTTTTGACTGAAAAATTGCAGTCCAAACAAAGTTGTTTTTTGATTGGACTTGAGCTCTTTGTTTTTTTGTTGGCAATTATGGTATTTTGAAAACTTTATAACCCTTTTTTTATGAGGCACTTTCCTTGACATCCATTTCTGCCATTAATCTTTTTATTGATTGACTTTAAACTCATAAAGAATTTGATAGCTTCACTTTTTTTTTTTTCTTTTCCAAATCCCTTCATCCAAAATAGACCTAAAATCAATAGATTTATTTGGGTAATTACACTGTGCCCAATAGAGTTTTAAAGTAGATAATGTCTTTACCATTCTATGACCATTTGTTTCATGTAACTCATGTTCAACTCACAAAAACTGATCATTTGAGTTTGAATTATATTCAGCGTTGACTTTATACAGACCAAAATCATGACAAACTAATGCAAAAGAAACTAAATTGCCTTCATGCTTGAATTTTATGATTCCTGATAAGTTGTCTTTCAATGATTATTGATAACCACAAAGGTTAAAAAACTAGTAGAAAGAAGAGTATTTAGAAAAAAAATTACAGGGTAAAATGAGAATTAATGACTTAATATGATGCAAAGGAGAATATTGGACCTCTTTTTTTCTTTGGTATAAAACAAGCGTTTGGATGCTGAATGTTCGGCCCAAAGCATAATCGCCTTCTCCTAAGGAGAATTCTTGATAGTGGGGAGGAACTGAGAAGTAAGAACAGTGGGAAATTTGATTGGAATGAGGTGAAATGCATTGTTCTACCTGGCTACATGTTCATCAGCACCATCACCTTGTATAGTCAACCGTAGGATCGAACTAAAATCGTTTTGGCAACTAATCCTAGTTTTACAAGCAGTGTTTAGAATAGCATTCCACCACTCAAATCATCTAGTTTCACTACCCAAGTTTGTACCATATAAAACAGCATCCTCAAATGCCCATGAACTCAATTGCTCATCTAAAAAGCTTCCACAGGTGAAAGGAAACCTTCTGTGATCATTATCAGAAACAATCAGATGACTTCTCACATCAATCTCCAGCTGAAAGTACTTCGAAAGTTCAGCTGGTGTTAAAATACAGCTTTGCTGTCTAAATGACAATGCTCACAAACTGGCAGTTGGTTGTGGTGAATTTGTCAACCAATCTACTCTCAAATTTGTTGCCTTTTTCAAGCAATTTGAGCAGCTTTTCATGACCTGAATCAGTATGTTTACCTGCATGTCAGTCGTTGTATTGCTAGTTATGCATTTGCATTTGGTTAGTCGTATTAATCTCCAAAGAATGAATGGCATATACATTAACATACCCAACTTTGTGATCCTTTCCTGGGATGGTTAATTGGTTATACTTAGCCCTGACTTTGGAGTTGGAGCACAAAGTAAAAAACTTACATGGCATAAGAATATTCACCTGCCCTCTACTTCTGAAATGGTGACTTTATTCATGGAGCAATGTACTGGATTTTGAGGTAAGTTGGCATTCTTGAGACTCATAATTTCCGAAAAAGCTGGTCTCTTTGGAGAAGCAAGAACCATGGATTCGTTGAAGAGCATAGATACGACTTCTGACATGGTTGGTCTGTCTGCTGCCTTCTCTTGCACGCACAACAAACCAACTTGAACGCATTTTAGTGCTTCAGGTTTTGGAACTGCTTCATTTAGACTAGAATCTGTAATATCTGAAAGACTTCCTTCTAACCATAAATCCCAGACCTGAAATAAAAAACAAGAAATGTGATGAATGATCATTGCTCAAATTAATGGAGCTGAAACATGGAATTCGGAAATATAAACAACTCGAAATATATTATGAATCTTACATGTCCTATTAAGTTCAGATGACGGTCAGAGTCATGGAAAGCAGTGTTTTTCTTTCCAGTTATGATCTCAAGAATCATGACTCCAAAGCTAAACACATCGGACTTCTCAGAAAAAATACCATCCATGGCATACTCAGGAGACATATAACCACTGTTGCATCACCAAATGAAAATGATCATAGCTAATCTAGGATATCATGAAATGTGTAGTTCTCCCAAAAACAGTAACAAGAAAAAGAACTCTTTGAACTTACTATGTCCCAACAATTCTACTCGTGTTTGCACGCAATTCATTATCTCCAAAAATTCTGGCAGTTCCAAAATCTGAAATTTTGGGATTCATGTCATTGTCCAGTAAAACGTTGCTTGGCTTTAGATCTCTGTGGATGATTTTTAATCTAGAATACTTATGAAGGTATAGAAGTCCTTGAGCTACCCCTTCAATGATTTTCAACCGAGCTTTCCAATCTAGTACATCTTGCATTGCTGCATCTGTTAGAAAATGTTGGAGTCTTTTCACAAACATACCTTCCGTTGACAACAAAATCAATATTACTAGGTAATAATTCTTACCAAAAAGAAACGAATCCAAACTTTTATTTGGCAAGTACTCGTATACTAATATCCGCTCCTCTCCGTGAGTACAGTAACCTAGCAACTTAACAAGGTTTCGATGTTGCAGCTTGGAGATGACCGTAACTTCATTCTTGAATTGTTCTGTTCCATATATGGTCATTTTGTTCAGTCTTTTCACTGCAACCTCTAGCCCGTTATTAAAATTACCCTGACATGAAAATCATTACTCGGGTCACGTAAAATGAGTGATTCCAGTAGGATTCAGTTACCTAAAAGCAATTTTTAGAAACGAAGATGTTGTGTCAATCAGCTTTCAAAATGAAGCGGGGATCTTAGAGGGAATTCTTTACCTTGTAGACAGGACCAAATCCTCCTTGACCAAGTCTTTTGGCTTCAGAAAAATGGTCAGTGGCACTCTCTATGCTTGAAAAACTGAAAAAAATTGATTCATCATCCTCTTTGTCACCGTCTGCTGACCATTCGACTCTTTTCAATTTGCTTATAGCTGTGCAAAATAAATACTACTCTCAGCCCATCTGGTTAGGATAGAGTGTCATAATAAAAATTGTTGCACCTTATCAAAAGAAGCAAAAAAGAGTGAAGTACCTCCAATTCCAGTAACTTTTTTCCTTTGCAAGATGCAATACAAAGAAAGCAGTGTAAGAGTTGCCAGAAATGGTGCTACAACACCAATAGACAATTTCAACTTCCACGTTGATTTCTGTCTTTTAGAAGAGCCAAGAGCAGGGGTTGGCGAATCATTAGGAACTGCATTAGTAGAAAAAGAATCAGCTTTGTTTTAATCTAAATTCATTTGATTGGCTACAAGAGAGTACTTATAGCAGAGCACATTTTCTTAATTAAACAACTTGAACAGATGATTGTATAATCTTGGCTACACAATATTGAACGAACAAGGAATAAAAAAAGGATGAAGATATCATCAATATACAAACATTAGATATTTCTACAGCTGGCCAGCCTGAAATAAAAAAATAACGGACAATTACTAATGGTCTCCACGCCCCAGATTCCAGGAGCGGTACAATACCTCCTGGTATTGCTCTTGCGTCCTAGCTCAATGACTGATCTAATTTGCACAATACACCGTTCAATCGACATATAAACGGGGAACCAATCTGATATTTGGCACTCCTGATGCAGATTTTTTATTACCATGTCAAATATCTACAAGTATTATGGCACAATCATCATGAAAGCATTGCATCTATTCTGGATAAGCACTAGCCAACAATCACCTAAAGAAGACATGGTCATTTCAGATGACTGTGCCTGATAAACTGTACAATATCATCAAATGCCAAACATCGAAATGTAAAGAGTAAAAGAGTCACGACATGGATCAATATATACTGATTAGTTTTAGAATTACATGTTAGTCCCAATATCAGGTATCCATGAATGCACTGCAATGACCTCTAACTAAACTTACCTCAAAATCAATATAATTTTGGAAAATTTTAGCATCCCTTTTGAGTACCATACCCATAGTTATAATCCAATAATCTATTATCACATAATTCAATAATTTAAAGTCCTAAAATCATTTTAGAACCGATATTTCTTTTACATATTTAACAGTGAATTGATACTCATCAATATGGGTACTACTCCATACTCAAAAGGTACGGTAGAAGTCCATAATTTTGCGAACTTTTCTGTTACCCTTAATGGATCAAATGGACATAAGGTCTATAAGTATATGCTATTCTAAGTTTAGAGGGCAAAAAATAAAAAAAAATACAGGGATAAAAGTATAATTATATAAATCCAAACCACTGCCAAAACTCACCTCCCATGGGGATATATAACAGATTCCCGGCGGTGAAGTTAGCCGTTGGATTATATCTCTTCACCAAATCAGCAGTCAAATTATTCGCAGCAGCCACGGACTCCAGCGTCTCCCCATCCTGGACAGGCCACGTAACAAAGTACCTGTATCCATTCGACACCTCCCCGCCGCAGGAGCAATTCACAGGCACGTTCAGGACACCAATATGCGGGACGGAAACACCATTTTCGGGATAAGAATTGAACCTCTTCAACCAAGCGGCACTGGTCAAATTGGAATAGGACCCTTTTGCGATTGTATCAAAAGTTGTTTGGGTTGACGACGTGACATTGTAGCTGAAAACATGGGCTAAAAAGTTGTTATTGATGCAGTCACAGGTAAAGGGTATGTTAATTCTGCCGAAAAAGAGTTGATCCCTGCCGGGAACTATGCTGATATTGGCCCGGTTGCTGTCGGTTATGCTTGCTGTTGGGATGTTGAAAAGACTGGCAATGTAAGTTAAATTTTCGCCAGACGACGGGTAGTAGGAGCCTTGAGCTAAGTCGCAGCCTGAGGTGCAGCTTCCATGGACTTGTGAAGTTTGGACTGAGAATAGGATTGCGGTCCTAAGAAGCAGTAATCGCGGAATTAGTGTTCTTGATTTGGATGAGAAGAACATGATCGGATTGAGACTTCTTTGCTGGTAGAAGAAGTTGGGACTAAGGGGGAAGAGAAGTAAGGGTGAGAAATTTTGTGGGGCGTTGTCCATTCTTTGTTTAGCATTTCAAATTAATAATAATGTTTTCTTTTTTCTCTTCTAGAGATAATTTTGAAAATAGTTCTCAATCTTTGTTATCCAATCGAGTTGGAGAGGAAAATTAAATTTGAAGACGACAATTGCACAATATAATTAATAGCAGTTTATGCGCATTTAATAGAAATTGGGATGAACTTGATTTATTGTGTGATGCTATAATTTTTTAGATGACTTGGGCACCCTGTGTTGACAAAAAAAAAAAAAAAAATCCTCCTATGTTTATCCACTTAGTGGATCATTATTGTCCATATATTTCTTTCAGTTCCTTGTTTGAATGTTGGAGATTTCATTTTTTTTGTAACTTTAGAGAGTAGCAATTTTGATCTCCAATATTTAAAGGATAGACTAAAATGATCCTTTATGTTATGCAAAAATAAATTTAGCTCCATATGTCTAAAAAATGAAACAATTTGACCTCATATTGGTTTGGACAAAAACTAACTCATAATCTTAATAACTAATCTAATTTTTTACTACAAAATGAAAGAGAATAGAGGTTGGTGATGTGGTGGTGGTTCACTGAGTCATAGAAACAGTCATATTAAAGACAAAGCAGAGGTCGATGTTGGTAGACTGAGTCATAGATTTCTAAATGTCTTTTGCCTCATAAATTGCCCCACGTGCTAAGGATAAACAAAAACTTGAAAAGTTATATGTTAGGTTAACCTCCGTTCTTGACAACTGAATAATGATAATAATAAAATAAATAAATTAAATAGAAAAATATAAGAATTTATGTGGTTCGATCGAATTGACTTATGTCCACGGATGAAAGGATAGTAGATTTATTATAACAAAAATAGAGTACACAAGAGAGAATACAAAATCTTAAGAAATAATTTCTAAGCTCAAGAGTGTTGGGATATGCAACTTTTCCTACATATTTTGCTAGATTATGTTTAATATCAAAATAGTTTAGTTATTAGAAAAATAAGGATATTTGTTAACAAAAGATCATGTTGGTTTGTTAATAGATATTTTAGATAAGATTTGCTAGTAGAAGGAGATTATATTTTGTTGAAATTTCTAGGATAATTGTTAGTGGGATATTTTGCTAGTTTGTTTCATGTAATCACTATAAATAGTGAGTTGATGAATGTAGAACAATAAGCTCATTTTCCACCTTCAATACAAGTCTCTTATAAGCTTTTTTTGCAACACTAAGGTGTTGTTTCTTAGTTCATGCCCCAAAAAACCAACAAAGTGGTATCAAGAGCCTATATCTTAAGGGCCTGAGTTTTTTTTTAGAGTGATGCATTGGTGAGGATCCATTATAAGTTCAAGCCATGACAGGAAAGAACTTTTTGTCAAATGTTTCAACTTTTAGTGGTGAAATTTACCAAATTTGGGCCATAAAATTTTGGACTTATTTGGTAGTCAATGATCTACGAGATATGGTAGAGACGAATTTTGTTTCATCAGTATTTGAAGAGCTGATGGATACACAAATTAGAGACCACAGAGTTGCAGTTAAACAGAGATCCAATGCCAGCATTCACATATCAGTTTTTAATGCCGTTTTCACAAAGATAATGGCTGATGATTTGATTGAGAATAAATTATTCTCAATTAAAATAAAAAGGAGAAGTTTCACTATGAATTGGTTAGATTTTGACAATTCTAAAGTGGAACATGATGATGAAATCAAGAATTCAGATCCTGAAAAAATTCAGGAGGAGATCATTGATAAGTCAAGAGATATCAAATTGATTCCTGATATTTATCAAGATTATAACATTTCTGTTTTTGAGTTTACAGATTTTGATGGTGATGACAAAATGAAGAACCATGCAGAATTTCATATTTTCTGTATAGGTTCAAATATCGTCAAAAGATGTTCCATTTTAAACCTATGAGAAGGTTATTTGGAAACATTAAAAAAAAATCATCTTTTATGTGGAGTTTGGCATGAGAAGACAAAAGAAATGGTTCTTTGCAAGACTAATATTTAGCTTGCATAAAAACCTAAAGGAAGAAGTTCATTGCAAGGCTAATCATCAATTGCAAAGCTTCTTACAAAAGTCTCATCCAAAACAAGATTCAAAAATTTGAGAAGACAATTCAAAATCTACAGCAAAAGTGGCAAGGAGGAGTGTTGGGATATGCAACTTTTCCTACATATTTTGCTAGATTATGTTTAATATCAAAATAGTTTAGTTATTAGAAAAATAAGGATATTTGTTAACAAAAGATCATGTTGGTTTGTTAACAGATATATTAGATAAGATTTGCTAGTAGAAGGAGATTATATTTTGTTGAGATTTCTAGGATAATTGTTAGTGGGATATTTTGCTAGTTTGTTTCATGTAATCACTATAAATAGTGAGTTGATGAATGTAGAACAATAAGCTCATTTTCCACCTTCAATACAAGTCTCTTATAAGATTTTTTTGCAACACTAAAGTGTTGTTTCTTAGTTCATGCCCCAAAAAACCAACAAAGAGGCACCTAAAACTGAAAATTATCCAATTGGCCCTTTAACTCTTTGTCTAGATAAAATTAAGCCCCTCATCTATTTTTTGCTGACTTTAAGCCCTCGAACTTGTAAAATGAGAAATCCGTGGCCCTTTTAGCCAGTTTCTCCGATTTTGCAACCGGATGACCAATTCACACGAACGTCATGTGCTTCTTTCAAGGGCATTTTTGTCCTCATATTCTAAGCAAAAAGGGCACACACAGTCCACATTTCTATTTGATTTCCCTCACCTCCCTTACTCTTCCCTGCGCAACCCCCACGCAATCCCATGGCCGTCTCTGTCACATTCTCGGGGATTGCTTCCAAATTTTGCACATCTAACAAAACCTCCCAGTCCAAATTCCTAGATACATCTGCACTCTCCTCCCGGGGCATCACCGGCATGTCATCATCATCCAGAAACATGCTCAGAACCTCTCTCTCATCAACTCCTTCATCCACTTCCTCCCACTCAAAATCCTCATTAACTTCTCTATGATCCTTAATCTGAAAAGAATCCCAACAGAGCCTAAGGCTTGGATCATCATCACCCTCACTTATATCATCATCGTCAGCACTAAAATCAATCTCAACGTCATGGTTTATATCAGAATCCGATTCCGACCCGATATCCACGACTCGCAACCCGGTTACAAAATGGTCCCCACCCTCAAAATTTTCAGCTACGAACCCTGAATTTTCCACATTTGCCGAAGTGGGCTCTCCGAGAAACCCTAGATTCAGATCAAGATCCAAATGGGTCGGCTCCATTCCGTCGTTTCCTTCATGAATCCCGAAATTCGGGTCAGCATCGGAAATCTCCGGGTCAATCACCACACAGGTTGTGGAGGACAATTGGGACTGCTCAACTCGTTGGTGCAGGAGGTCCATAACGAAATTCACCTGATTCTCGCGGTCGAAAAGATCAGCGCTGGTGACAACCGATTCGGGCTCCGACACGATGTCGCTGGGGGGATCAACCAATAGCATCGATATCGGAAGACCAGTAGGGATCGAGATGATGGCGGTGGGGATGGGTTTGATGATGAGAAAAATCTACTTCTTCAATGACGTCGTCTAGGCCATCATCGTCCTGGTGGAGTCTGAGTAGTTGAAGCAACGTCGTCTCAGCCATTCTGTTTCAGCGGGGTGGGGAGAGTAGGAGGAATAAAAGTGAGAAAGGAAACACCTTTTTTTCGAAAATTATTTTTTATCTAAAAATTCCCATCTTTTTGCGTTTTCTTTTGTTTGATATTCTACAGCATGGGGCAAGGGGGGTAGGTGATCAGCAATTTCCCCTTTTATTTTCTCTCTCTTTTTTGACTAAAAATGAGCACTTTTCCAGCTTCCTTCGGTGGATTATGTGTGCCCTTTTTGCTTAGAATATGAGGACAAAAATGCCCTTGAAAGAAGCACATGGCGTTCGTGTGAATTGGTCATCCGGTTGCAAAACCGGAGAAACTGGCTAAAAGAGCCACGGATTTCCCATTTTACAAGTTCGAGGGCTTAAAATCAGCAAAAAATAGATGAGGGGCTTAATTTTACCTAGACAAAGAGTTAAAGGGCCAATTGGATAATTTGCCCAAGAATCAAATAATATAAAAGATTTATATATGCCTTTATTTTCCAACATTTCTTAAGACAATTTCAACCCCGTAACGATAGCATAATCCCTGCATTCTTGGGAGACTTCCTTAACACAGACAGGGAATTAAGGAGCACCTTTCTTTCCTGTTAGCTGTCCTGAATCCAATTCAACAATAATGCACTCTTCTCGATTGATGGGAAGGGAAGAACACATTTCTTTCCTGTTTGCTGTCCTCCTGATCCCAATTCAAAGCTGCATTGCCAAGTGTCATTGAACTTGATTTGCGACCTAAACAGTTTGTCGTGTCCCTGCCCTGCATCATCAAGCGAAATTAATCGCATAATTTCCCAACACCCCACCTCAATTGTCAAGATCAAGCACTTTCATGATGCCCCCTGTTATTCAAAATATTGTGGAAAAAGGCACCCGCGGAAACGTGTTGTTAGTTCTTGTCTGGACCAAGAATTTTGGACACTGTCATCTGCCAGTGCTACCTAACCATCGATCCCAAAGTCCTTCCATTCATTGTCCATCGTTGCTCAGAGAATTGGAGCAATAAGCAGCGACCCGCTAGGGAATAGTTGCAGCAGTAAAATGCTAAATAGAACCGGTCAACAGCACTGGCCCTCTTGGAGGATATTTTAGCTTTAAAACCACTTTTTCAGAAAATGTGAATTCTCCTCTATATGTGAAAAACTAAAAGGTACTAGTCAATTAGTGATAACTAGATTGGACTGCTGCAAATGTTTAGGGTTTTCGTGAAAAATTATTAATATTATAGCAATGTGATATATATGGGATAAAAAATACTTTAAAAAATTTTTTTTTTTTCACAAAAAATGACAATCAAAGTAGGCTTCACAAAATTGCAACTAAGATCAGAAAGGACATCAAATGAAAGAATTTTTGTGCTCTGTGGCTTGCTTAAAAGCAAACAGTTTTGTTAAAGCGATGTTGCCCTAGTTCTCTTGTTCATCATCAACACAAAGTCCACGTTTTGAGGGGGCAAAAAGATAGTTCTAATAACATGCTTTGTTTTGTTGCTGTCAAAAATACTCTATAGGTATGCATTTTTCATCAACATGATTAATTGCAAGCGATAGGAGTCGCATGCCGGGTGATTTGATCCTCCAAATATGAGCCGGCAACTAGGAACTTCAAGTACCTGTGGTAGTCAACTCGCTCAAATGTGAGTTGGTTGTCGAATTACTAATAAGTAAAATAAGATTATCGAAATAGTGTGTTTAGATTGTCAAATTATTTCAAGTAATATTTCGCTTGCATCATAAACACATTTCTCAATTCGCATTTTTATATTCCCAACTATTTTTCATCTCGTATGCATCACATCATGAAAAGTGCTACAGTAATTATTCCAAATAATATTTCAAACAATACTCTATCCAAACACATATAATTATGTTTGATTACTTCAATAATTAGTCAGCAAACTCAAATCCAAAACCAAAACGAATCCGCAAAAGAATTGAGACTGATTATCTGCAGTGGCCACCCCTAACCTGAGGGCACGGCCTGCTTCTCACCTTCCTCTGTCTGCAATTACCACTTGCAACACCCGCCAGTCAACAACGGGTACGTCCTTTTGTCCTAACCCACAGCTTGGTGAAACAAAGCAAGAAAATAATCATCTACCCTGCACATCTGAAATTGTGACCTCGTTCACAGAACAAGATTCTGGATTTTGAGGTAACTTCGTCATAATTTCAGCAAAAGCTGGTCGCGTAGGAGTGGCAAGAGCCATTGATTCCTTGAGGAGCATGGATACCACGTCCGACATTGTTGGTCTATCTGCTGCATTTTTTTGCACACACAATAAACCAACGTGAACATATTTTAGTGCTTCACTTGTTGAGACCGTTTCATCCAAACAAGAATCTGTGATTTCTGAAATTCTTCCTTCTGTCCATAGATCCCAGACCTGGAACGTGACAAATGATCATTCCCAAATTACTGGACTGAAGGAAATGACACAAGTACAACTGTGTTGTACAGGTTACTTACATGTCCTATTAAGTTCAGGTGACGATCCGAATCGTAGAACGAAGTGTTCTTCTTTCCAGTTATGATCTCAAGAATCATGACTCCAAAGCTAAATACATCGGACTTCTCGGAGTAAACCCCGTCCATGGCATATTCAGGAGACATATAACCACTTTTTCTCTCGCAAAAAGTAATCATCTCAATTAGCTTAAGCATGAGATTAGAGATTGGACATTACAGGTTGCAAAACAACAAAGAAGAAGATATTCCTTCAACTTACCATGTCCCCACAATGTTCATTGTACTTCCGCGCATTTCATTCTCTCCAAAAATTCTGGCGGTTCCAAAATCTGAAATTATGGGATTCAGGTCTGCGTCCAATAAAACGTTGCTCGTTTTCAGATCTCTGTGGATGATCTTTAATCTAGAATACTTGTGGAGGTACAAAAGCCCCTGAGCGACCCCTTCAATGATTTTCAACCTTCTTTTCCAATCCAATATATTCCGCTTTGCTGTATCTGTAAGCAAGGCAGATCCCAGTATTTTGATAGTTGTAAGCATGTAACTTAGATAAATAAATGAAGGTAAATAGAGTTCTGACACATACCAAAAAGTACTGAATCTAGACTGTTATTAGGCAAGTACTCGTATACCAATAAACGCTCTTCTTTGTCAATGCAGGAGCCCAAAAGTCTAACAAGGTTTCGATGTTGCAGCTTTGAGATCACTTTGACTTCATTCTTGAATTGTTCAATTCCATGTCCTGACATTCTATTCAATCTTTTAACTGCAATCTCTAGTCCGTTAACCAGTTTACCCTGAACCATGTATTTACATTAAAATTAAGCAAATAAATAGGGTTTTTGGACTTAAAAGTTAATCGTTTCAAGAAATGTTTAATTAGCTCACCTTGTAGACAGGACCAAATCCTCCTTGACCAAGTTTGTTTTCCTCGGAAAAATGATCTGTGGCAATTTCTATGCTTGTAAAACTGAAGAACAGTGATTCATCATCCCCTTTGTCATCAAGATCTGGCCTTTCTGGACCCATGAATTTTCGAAGGTTACCTTCTCTCTTCCGCAATTTGCAACACCAGAAAAGTAATGCAAGAGCTGCTAGAAAAGTCGCTACGGCAGCCCCAACAACCGATAACTTCACCCACTGATTGACGGCACCCCTGGCCTTGAAGTCTCGGCTGCCTTCAGCTAAGTCCGAAACAGCAATATGCGGGACGGAAACACCATTTTCGGGATAAGAATTGAACCTCTTCAACCAAGCGGCACTGGTCAAATTGGAATAGGACCCTTTTGCGATTGTATCAAAAGTTGTTTGGGTTGACGACGTGACATTGTAGCTGAAAACATGGGCTAAAAAGTTGTTATTGATGCAGTCACAGGTAAAGGGTATGTTAATTCTGCCGGCAAAGACTTTATCCCTGCCGGGAACTATGCTGATATTGGCCCGGTTGCTGTCGGTTATGCTTGCTGTTGGGATGTTGAAAAGACTGGCAATGTAAGTTAAATTGTCGCCAGACGACGGGTAGTAGGAGCCTTGAGCTAAGTCGCAGCCTGAGGTGCAGCTTCCATGGACTTGTGAAGTTTGGACTGAGAATAGGATTGCGGTCCTAAGAAGCAGTAATCGCGGAATTAGTGTTCTTGATTTGGATGAAAAGAACATGATCGGATTGAGACTTCTTTGCTGGTAGAAGAAGTTGGGACTAAGGGGGAAGAGAAGTAAGGGTGAGAAATTTTGTGGGGCGTTGTCCATTCTTTGTTTAGCATTTCAGATTAATAATAATGTTTTCTTTTTTCTCTTCTAGAGATAATTTTGAAAATAGTTCTCAATCTTTGTTATCCAATCGAGTTGGAGAGGAAAATTAAATTTGAAGGCGACAATTGCACAATATAATTAATAGCAGTTTATGCGCATTTAATAGAAATTGGGATGAACTTGATTCATTGTGCGATGCTATAATTTTTTAGATTATTCGGACACTTCTTTGTTGACAAAAAAAAAAAAAAAAAATTCCTCCTATGTTTATCCACCTAGTGGATCATTATTGTCCATATATTTCTTTCCGTTCCTTGTTTGAATGTTGGAGATTTCATTTTTTTTGTAACTTTAGAGAGTAGCAATTTTGATCTCCAATATTTAAAGGATAGACTAAAATGATCCTTTATGTTATGCAAAAATAAATTTAGCTCCATATGTCTGAAAAATGAAACAATTTGACCTCGTAATTGGTTTGGACAAAAACTAACTCATAATCTTAATAACTAATCTAATTTTTTACTACAAAATGAAAGAGAATAGAGGTTGGTGATGTGGTGGTGGTTCACTGAGTCATAGAAACAGTCATATTAAAGACAAAGTAGAGGTCGATGTTGGTAGACTGAGTCATAGATTTCTAAATGTCTTTTGCCTCGTAAATTGCCCCACGTGCTAAGGATAAACAAAAACTTGAAAAGTTATATGCTAGGTCTAGTCTCCGATCCTTCACAACTCAATAATAATAATAATAAAATAAATAAATCAAATAAAAAGGACAAAAATGCTAAGGACAACACCAACTTGGGCACGAGCTGCGTTATGAACATCGAGATAATCCTGTTTTGAGTTTTGAGCTCCAGATGGCCAGAAGATTACAAGGTGAATGCAGCTAAATAATGCTAAGGAGATCTTAAATGATCCCATTTCTCCCTACTTCTTTTTGCGCTTTGAAAATACGAGAGCAGTGAAGGTGTGCAATTCTCATCTATAGCCTATGCATGAGTTTATTTATACAGGGAAGGACGTCTTGGCTTTTGGGTTATGCAAAGGTTTATATCATATTTAAGGAAGGAAAGGAAATTATGTAGGAGTATTTAAAAACAAGATTTAATCATATATATAAAAAAGGGATAGAAAGAAAAGAAATGAAGTCATGGAAGACTAAGAAGTATCTTCTAATGAGAGTCGGTCGAGTACAAACATTCTCGCAACACTTGTACATCTAACTGGGCGAATTTCTTAGTATATTGTCAATTTTGAAAAAGATCGCAAAATTGGGGGCATTCGGGGTGGAATGGTGAGTAAGGGGTTGCCGCAAATGACAGTTGAGTCTACTAATAAAAAAACTTTTAATTTTCATTTATTTTAGTTTCATGTATTTTGGGGCAGTTTTCGTAAAAAAAAAAATAAATAAATAAATAAATTTCCTTTCCGCTCATGAAATGAGCGGCGACAGAATTTTCCTAATTCCTTCGCCGCCGATCTGATGAGCGGCGAAGGAATGTTGGTCCCAATTGATGAGCGGTGAAGCTTTTGTCCTTATGTAATTTTTTTTTTCGAAGCATTCTTCCTACCTTTTTATTATTTCATATGTAATTTTTAATAAGTGTTGCCGCTCATTCTAATTTATTTTTTTTGCGAAGCATTCTTCCTATCTTTTATTATTTCATATGTAATTTTTAATAAATTACTTAATGTTTAATAAAGGCAGCACGACCAAGTTTTTTCTTGCCCTTTTTACGTAGCCCTTAAATAGGTGTAATTAGAATTTTACATTTTACAGAAAATACTAATTTTCAAATTACAATGTAATATTTTTTAAATTAAAATTTTTAATCACATTACTAAAATTCTATTATAAACCAAAATTATCAAAAATTTAAAATATGATATTAGAATAATGAGAAATCTATAAATTAACATGATAATCGAATATGCTATTAAATTACTAATAAAATTTACTTAAGTCATATTTTTAAATTTTATAATATTATTATTGCAATCAATAATGATAAATAATACAATATTTACATAACGTAATAATTACTATATAACTTAAATAATAATAAATTAGGCATAATTAGAGTTTAGAGTTTAAATAATTGGTATGGTATTAGAATTTAAATAATTGGTATGGTATTAAAAATATAGAGAAGAGAGAAATGTTGAGGTTGTCAGTGAAAATGAGGTAGAATGGCAAACAAATAATTGTAGTACTGCATTGACTACAAATTGTTTTTGACTAAATATTTAACTTTGATTAGTTTAGTTTAAAAAGAAAATTAGTGCATGGCCGTTAGCCTTTTTTATCCAATGACAACCATTGGATATGCTGGGTTGGTGGAGGTGACAGTGGAAAAACCGTCGCCGCAATCAAGATTTGTGATTTTATTTTAAAAATGTTAGGCCTTGCTTGGATTGCTTGTTTCCGTCGGAAAATATTGTCGTTTTTCATGATCACATTTCCCTATCACATTTTTCCCTCACATATATCAAATCGCTACAATAATTTTTCCATGAAAAATGACGGAAAATGCAATCCAAACACAACCTTAGTTTGTTTGGATTGAGTATTATTTATCCAAATTTACGTGTTTACATCATCATTACAATTTTTAATATATCTTTTTATTTTTTCAATTAACTTTTTATCTCACATACATCACATCACAAAAAGTACTACAGTAAAAATATCCCAAATAATCTCAAATAACTTACACTCCAAACTTTTCAATTAAATTAAGCCATCTCACTTTAAAGAAAATATTTTGATCGATTTGATGCCGCAAATTGATTTGCGGCATCGAGTGGCAAATACAAAAAAAATTATTTAGTGCCTCCTGTCCGTATGAGAGGCAAATAATTTGGCCTCAAACAAAAAAAGTCAAAAAGTAGTCTGACATGACATATGAAGAAAAAGTCAAAAAGTACTACTCTCTCCTGTCCGCAAATAATTTTGGTCTCAAGCAATAAAATTCAAAAAATCGTCTGACATGTCAACAAAGTCAAAAGTTGCTCCTGACATTCTGTCAAATCATGATCAGGCTTTAGAGCATCATTCGCCGCTCATCAGATGAGCGGAGAAGCGTTTTTGTTTTAAAAAAAATCCGAACCAAAAAGTGAAACCAAAATAAATGAAAATTAAAACTCTTTTTACTAATTGCCTCCCTCTCAATTGCGGCGACCCCTTAACCAGCAAAACTCTCCACATAATCCCAATTTTGTGAACTTTTTCAAAATTGACAATATACTGAGAAATTCGCCCATCTAACTGCCACTCGTATTAATCTCTCGCGGGTCCCGGTTCCCGGTTCCTATTTCCTTCCCGCGGATTGGGAGTCTTAGAACCTAAATCACATTCAAGACTCAAGTTTAGCTTTTCTATGATAAATTGCAATTCTATCAATTATTTTATTATTAATTTTTTCTATTATTTGATTTGATGTGAATTAATTATTAAATTCTACTTATTTTTTATAATTTATATTTATTTTAAAAAATAGATAAAAAATACCATAATTAATACCACTTTAACAATCATTGGAAAAAAAATTAAATAGAGGACTTGAAAGGACATATTTGAAAAGAGGGACACAAGCCCTTTTCGATCATTTGACCGAAGTCTTGTTTTCCCTGGAAGCCTCCGCACAGTGCAGCAGGAAGACTAACAGATACAAATAGAAGATTGCAGGAGATTGGAAAGGAGGATTACTTTTGAGCTTTTCGTCCTTTAGCTTAGCTTCACTTTTGACCGAAGTCTTGTTTTCCCTGGAAGCCTTAGCTTCACTTTTGACTTTTCTTCTTAGCCTGGAGTAGTCATTCTCACGCATGCGAGGAGAAAGGAAGCATCAGCTTTTGACATTCCTTTGTGGCTTTTGGTTGTTCTTTCTCTTCTTCCTTCGTATGAGCAGACAAGCGAGGACATTAAATTATCCTCTGCAACTTTGCTTTGCTTTATTTCCTTGACCGAATTGAATTTGTGCATTTCTCAATTGATTGGCCGCGGCTCTCTCTTCAAATTTGCGTGGGTTTCTCGCATTAAACATGAACTAATCTCTTCACTCTAGGCAAGAAACATCGGATGCTTTGAATTGCCTAAAATTGTGAGATCGATTTAATTCTATCATTTTCTCTTATTTATTGGTATTTTCATATTCCTTGATTGCTATGCTTATGGTTATTTAATTAATTGATTGTTTTGGATCCGGATAATTAATTGATTTGGTAATCTATTGTTAATTAAGGCGTTAAATTTCGTAATTGTTTAATTGCCTTGAATTAGTGACAACTGGCACGATTAGATTTGTGTCAGGAGGATACGCGGGCTAATCTAAAATAACATTGGTAGTGCGTTATTTGGTTAGAATAGTGCTCATCTAATACGTAAGGCAATTGGAAAATTAAATCTTATGGGCGTACCTATAATTATTTCCTAATTAGAGCAGTGATTAACGGGCGTACCTTAATCACCGACACAGTAAGGAGGGGTTGACTGTCATCGCTTGTTTGGTAGTTATAACCTATTTATTGATAAATAATTGAAATTACATTTGCATCGATGATCAATCAGGTGAACCATTGCTGAAGTTATTCCTTGGCTAGATCCTTAATTATCACTCGTTTGATTTTAGTAAATTGTTATTTAATTTCTAGTTGGCTATTTTATTTTTATTATTTTACTTTTAGTTGAATTGCTTAAATTGTCACCCCTAATATAAAAACACCCCCTTTGTCATTGGGAATTTGAAAAGAAACAATTAGTCCCAGTCCCTGTGGATTCGACCCTGCTTACCACTATCTACAGAAATTAACTTTAGTTTGAGCAGGTTTTATTATTGCATAGGCTGACAACCTGTCATTCAAATTTTAATGTGTGTTTTTTTTTTTTTTGGGTCTCTCCAAAGATAGTTTTGAAAATAGTTTTTAATCCTTTTTATGTAAGCGACTTGGAGAGAAAAATTTGAAGATGCAGCAGCTATTTTTGGATATATTTTCTGCATGGTTGCCAGAGCAATCAC